ACTATAATCATCCATAAAAGCATAATAACTTCGCAAAACAAACAAGAAAAAAATTAAAAAAAAAAACAAAACAAAACAACCATATAAACAACCATACACACAAAAAAAATCTTTTCAGCATTTACCAATTTCTGATTTACAGTTAAAAGCAAGATACTTAAAAAGTAATATTTTTGAAAGAGAATTTCTACTTTTACTAAGTTTAGAAGTTCTCTACTTTGTTCACTCTTGGTGAACTTCATTAAGCTCCTTTAGCTTAAAAAATGTGGAATGTGGCTGGAAAGCCTTAAAGTAAAAAATAGAAATGACACTGAAACAAGGTTTTAATAACATCAATTGTGATAAAATTGTTATTGTACAATGGAAAAGGTTCAAAAACATCACAGAAATGTTCTTTCCCCGAGGCTTTTATACTCAGTCAATAGTTTATTATATAAATATACTTGAGAGAGGGGGTATACTTCTGTTTATATTTTGTTAAGTTTAAAATACTGCATTCAATCAAAGAGAGATATACTTATATTGGGTGATTACACGGTGGAAAGTGAAGATGTTTGGTTAAGCTTTAAAGTGGTGACATCAGTCATGATAGAGGGTGAAAAAAACTGAGATTTCAAGAACATTAGTCTGATCTCTAGTCTGATGCTCAAACTGAATTTTCAAATACTGAATTTTGACCTAACATTAGTTGTTTTGTATACACAAGTTTAAAGAGCAATGCCAAAAATGGCATTACTGAAAAATGTAACAAACACGCAATCTGGCAACCAGTTGTCTGTCCTTTTGACAGCTTATGACTATTCACAAAAGTAGTGTCTGCTTGCCAGTCAGTCTCAGGAAAACGTCTCAGAATAGCGGTCATTGAATTAATACAACCCCTTTTTGAAACAAAAAGCTATTAAAACTGTTGAAGCATGTATTTACTTCAAGATTTTTGCGTAGTTATGTATACCCCACTTATTTATGTATGTGTACACTGTTGTATGTATATTTTTATACACATTTAATGTTGTATATTATGTTTTGCTTTCAATATTAAAAAAAATATATATATGTAATTTTCTACAGCACTGAAATACTGAGCGGACAGACATATTTTAGTTTTTGTGCACTGTCGTGACAAATAGCAAGAATAACAAGTGGATAGTAGCACTGATTTAACTTCCACCAAGAAATTATACATCTGCTTAAACAGAGCTAAATTGTTATATCTGTGGGGTAGTTCTGTTTACAGCTGCTGCTCAGAACTTTGTAAACCATGCCAGCAATTTTTGTAATATTTATGTTTTAAAAAGAAAGTGGAACTAGTATATGTAGTGTGAATTTGATAGACGTTGATTATATTTAGCTATGCTAGCTAGAAGCCATTCCTAACCATAGATATATTCCTAGACAGGGGCATTTTTAATAGCTGCTGGCACCTGCTAGCTAACGTGGAGCAGTCTCTGTGAAACATTTACAGCATGTCAGCGATTTTTTATCAAATGAAAAACAAAACTTTTGTATGTAATGTGAATTTGACAGACAATTTGGGATAATTGCCATTGTTACTGACAGCTTCTAGCTTGCATATCTAAAGATATGTAAATATAAACAAAGTCTATCAAATGCAAACTACATACACTAGTTCCACTTCTTTTTAAAACATGAATATGGCAGAAGGACAGAGACTGCTTGATGTGAGTAGCTGCAGCAGCAGTAAACAGGGCTACCCCACACATACAGCATTCTAGCTTTGTTTAAGTCATCTAGCTAAAACTGTGCTTCTATCCACTTCTTACTCTCAACATTTGCCACAGCAGTGCACGGAAACTAAATATGGCTGTAGCTCAGTGTTTGAGCGCCATGGTACAACAAGATTTTGACATTGTTTCTGTGAAAAGGTCAACTGCACAGGAACATAATCAATGCTAGATCAGAACCATGCAGAGATGGCTCTGTGCTAGACAACCTAGCTAATGTTACTGATTGGGTAGCTTCTTTCCATAAAATGACCTGGCCATGGTTACGTTGCTGTGGTAACAAAGTAGGCGTCAGTAACTGTGTAGCTACAATGATGACAAGAGAAATGGAGGTGCATTATCTTGCCCTCCAAACTCCTCAAAATTCTCTGGCATAAGCATGAATCTTTGACCAAAGATCATATATAAGGTAAACCAAGATAGCGCATGTTCAAGTGAATGCTGTGAAAAGGGGTTCCATTCCTCTCTGCTTATCCTGTGTCCAAGTGGTCCCAGCAAACATACAACATTGTCACAACATTGTTACAATGTTGTCAAAAGGTGGTGCTTTTTACGTTGTCTCAACAAGGTTGTCACAACGTTATCACGACCTCATTATTCAGTAAAGTTGCCAGATGGTATTATAACTACTCATTGGCAACTTATCAAAATTCCATAGTTTCAATCACAAAGGAAGTCCAATTCAGACAGGACTAAATTTACATGGGGTCCTGTCACAGGTGCTCCTCTGAGATTTGATTTCTGTCCGAATCGGCCCTTTCAGTGTTTTGTCACTGCTCCTCTGAGAAAATTACAGGCTGACTGTAATTTTTACATACTGTTTTTCAGTGAGCTCTGTGCTGCTCTGATCATTTCAGTCCAATCTGTGTTTTTCCAGGCAGGTGTTGCCTCGTGCTGGAGAAAAAGGTTTGGTCTCTGAGAGCATGTATCCATCAGAGAATCTCCTCTAGACACTACACAGAGAGCAGAAGTACATTCAATGTTGAATTACGGTTGCATTTTGTTGTTTAACGTTGATGATGGAAAAATAACCGTCATTCATCATTGAACAGATCTGTGTGTTAAATGTCAGTTAACAATGAAATTTTGAAACTAAATTAATGTGAACATAAGATTTATTGTTGAAGTGCGGGAAAGGTGGTGGCATAGAAAAAAATGAATCTGAAAAGGACATGTTGCACAAACTTTCTGTAGCCTTTTGTTTTGTTTAACTCTTGTTTAATATCTATGGATTTTTTTCTATATTCATCAAGGTAAATGGCTAAAGACTAAATGATATGCAATTAAAATAGAAATTGATCATGCTATTCATGTGTTAATAGGACTGAACAACACAAAATAAAGTTTTAAAATAAGTAAATAAATGAATTAAATATAACAGGAGAGCTACAAATATAAATTAACAGAAAAATAATCTTTATAATATAATAATTTATATTTATAGTTTTCCTGTTTAAAACGTCATTATGTCTTTTTTTTGTTTTGGTGGCTTTATTGTACAAATTATTAAACAATCTTGACACTGTTCATGGACCATATCTGTGGAACATTTTTGTGTGTTTGGAGTACTTCGCATTTTGTTGCCACATAGCAACTTCATGGAAACTGCAGTCTGCAGTCTTACAGTGTGAGTAAACCGGTACGTCATTGGCCACTTGTTATCCAGGCTTGAAAAAAATGTTTATTTGAACAAATACGCAAACTGGGGCTAACTGCACAACTTTAAACTGTGTTTACTCAACAGTTCTGAGATTAAAAAAAAAAAAAAGCTGGAGAAGAAAAAAAATGGCAAAGTTTCAGACCAGACACGTGTAGGAAACTGGAAAATACTATTTTCCCACTTGTAAATTCCGCTCTAACGGCCGACAAAGTCATGTTTACAACTGGTAAACTCGGGATTTTAGATGATACACGAGTTTTTCAGATGTGACGTACAACGCGACCTTTCAACTTTTAGACGAATGAAAAACGCCAAACGTGCAGTCAATGTGGAGAAAACAGATCCTATACCTGAGGCACTGCTTTTTCCGTGTAGTCGGCGTAACGGAGTGAAGTCGTATTTACTAGTTAACCATCTGGTATATACACCTTTCCGATGAGCACCCGAACGCAGCATTAAATCTTGCGTCAGCCGCTTTGCCCCGCCCCCGTCTCCTGGGGCAACAGCAGCAGCCTGTGCTGTTTTTCCTAAAATCAGCTCATCAGACAGGGTGTTTAGTCTCAAAATACTCACAAACACCAACAGTCACAAAATGACCACAACTGGAACAACAGATTGTGATATTTGATGGATCCAAATGGGATCTAAATATGTTCTACAGGACACTAGTGGTCTCTAATGGAAACCATTAAGCCAATTCTCATTAGAAAGCAAAACTATCAGATGTTATTCCAGTGGTTTCTAATGGTCCTTTTTTAGCAGGGGAGTCAGTGTTTGTGTAAATGGGCTGTTACAAACGTTTAGTACACATAAACTGCTAATAGGACTTGTAAACAATCAGTAGAGGAGGCGAAATACAAAGCAGCTGCTTTCCTCTCTGCTGTGATAATGTATTACATCAAGACGCTTTTATTCACACTATAAAAGTTATGAGGTCATATGCGTCGCAGACCACCTCCGTGGTTTGAGTGATCTCCAAGACACCTTTGTACTGCGTTCACACCTATATTTAGCACTGTCAACTTTGGGTCACCCAGGATGCATGTTAATGTAAAATGTGAACTGGGCTAAAGATTATGTATCAACACCTCTGATCAAACCGACTTTTTCTTGATATCTTGATTTGGAAGCCATTGATGACTCGTTCACGTTATGCCGAAGGAATGTCAACAATATGGCTGTTGGATGCTTCTTCCGAGTTTTGCGAATACAATTTATGCAACACCCTAACCCAGAGGTGCACAACTCCAGTTCTGAAGGTCTTACCAGTTAATTGCAAGCTTTAGTGGGTGTGTTAGAGTAGGAAACCTCCAAACTGTGCTCCAAGCCAGGAGTTGTCCACCCCTGCTCTAAGTATATTTCTGCAGGAAAAGAGAAAAAAGAGCACAGACTCTTCAGTTTACTTATTAGGCAAAACAACAATGGTAAAAAAGGGCACAGGAGTTCCTTTTTTGTGTGCCTGTCTAAACAAAATGATGATTGTGAACAGAACAAAGAGACAGACTGGTTCTTAAATTGGTTTCGCTTTCAGGTTCTGCAATCTTTCTATATAACTGCTCAAAGTACTTGAGTACAGGTCACTTTTCAGTTCTCTTTGGTGGAAACACCATGGAAAGTTCAGTGTCTTTTTGCACTGTGATTTTACTGTACTTCATGTCTTCTTCTGAAACTACTCATTGGATCACAGAAAAGTGCATACAGGTAAGCTTACCATATATTCTTTAAAATGCTGAAATGCTTTCCTAAATAAAGTGTTCTAGGCAACAAAATGTGTGCGCACACAGGAACTACACAGCAAAGCTTTTGTTAATCTTTGTTGCAATGTTTGATACATTGTTATTACAGAAGCCTGCAATATGCCAAAGAGCTGTGGGCATTCTGTAGGCATCTCAACTTTTACATAAAACACCTTAAATTATACAGGCATAGTTTGTGTTTGTTGCCAGTAAACAAGTTAAAAATAATTCTTATTTACTAAGCTAAAAATCTAACCTCTCTAATCAAAAATACTAGACTATGAATTTTACAAATGAAATTTGCATTTTTCTTAGACTGCTGGTGGTTGTGACTGTAGTGGTTTGGCACTACAGTTTGTGCCAGATGAAGTCCCAGACTCTGTCAAAACTCTTGAATTCAGCTTCAATTATCTACCAGCATTGTACAACTCTACGTTCCAAAGGCTGAAGAGTCTTGTTTTACTGGACCTGACAAGGTTAGAGGTCACTTTAAACCATATTAACTTAAATTTTTGCTGTCAATACAAATGCTATATTTAATATTTTCTTCCCATACAGGTGCAGTATTACTTTCATGTATGAGGATATCTTTCAGCATCAGCCAAACCTTGAGAGTCTTATTTTGGTAGGAAACCCATTGCTGTTCATAGCAGAAAGTGCCTTTTCAGGATCACATGCCCTGAAATACCTCAACCTAGCTCGGTCAAAGATACGCAGTCTAACAGACATCCCTGCTGCCAATCTCATGTTCTTGGAGACTCTGGAACTTGCAGGAAGTGACATTAGTTCCTTGGATGGCCTGAGTAATTTCAATTTGCAACAGATGAAGAGGCTTCTTCTAGGCTTGAATTCTATTGAGAAGATAAGGGCAGCAGATATGGTAGGGCTTCAGAAAGCAAGTGGAATAGAGCTCAGTTTCAAAGGTAACAATCTTGTTGATGTTGAGCCAAATGCTTTTCAAGGGCTGGACATAGACAGTTTGGATTTCAGTGGCTGCTTCAACAAAATGAACACTTCTGTGTTACTGAAGGGACTAGAGGGAATGAAAACCAACAAACTAAATCTAGGGGTATATGAGGACAGCACAAAAGGCTTTGTAACATCTGCTGGGCTCCAATCCTTCTGTAACATATCAGTGGTTGATTTAGACTTTCAGCTCCAACATTTCTGTGATCTCACGGAGACTAGCTTTCAGTGCCTGAAAGGGCTGCAGAAGTTGGACTTCACCAGAGCGCATCTTTCATCATTCCCATCTAATTTGTCCAACCTGTCTACACTGTCTCAGCTGGTGCTGGATGAGAATTCATTTCAAGACATCTGCAACATACATGCGGCAAACTTCCCCATGTTGACTCATTTGTCAATCAGTGGGAATTTGAAGCCTCTGCTCTTTAAGGAGAGCTGTCTGCAACCTCTCTCTCACCTGAAAGAGTTAGATCTTAGCCATAGTAAATTGACTACTGGGGAGTTTTGTTGTAACAAACAACTGTCTGGTCTCAGTGAACTGAAGCTTCTAAATCTTAGTTATAATTACATCAGAGAGCTTCTTCCATTCAATGCCACTCCACAACTACACAATTTAGACTGCAGCCACATGAACTATATCTTAAACAGCTTATCTCCATTTAGCAATCTGCAAAATCTTCAAACACTCAACCTGTCATGGTCAGGAAGTGATCTTTCAAATGTACAACTTTTGAAGGGCTTGAAGAACCTACTAGTGCTCAATTTAAAAGGGAACACCATAAAAGGTGGGGTTCTCGCAAAAGCAGAGACCTTTAATCATGTTCCTCTCTTGGAAAGTCTGGTTTTGTCTGAATGTGGGTTTACAGGCATCAAGGAAAATGTGTTTAAGGGCCTCACAAAGCTCATAAATGTAGACCTGAGCAAAAATCACCTTGCCACACTTTCATTTTCAGCCTTCTACTCACTAAAGCAGATCCAGCTCAACTTTGCCAGAAATGTAGTTGTGAAAGTCTATGTCAAAAGTGTTGAGGATTTAGGGGAAGTAAGTACCATTGATCTGAGCTATAACCCACTGGTTTGCAACTGTACCAACTACCAGTTTATTAACTGGGTTAAAGGAAATGCAAACAAAATGAAACATTTACAAGAGACAGTGTGTGGAACCTCAAACCAGAAGATTATAGATGTTGATTTACAGTGTACAATTTCATATGGATTACTAATTATTTTGCTTACAGCTGCAATTATACTTCCTATTATAATATCCATCTTCTGTTTCATGAGGAAATTTAAATCTGTATCTTACTCAAGATTGTGAAGAAATAAAACAGGTATATTATGCACACCCATCTTGTATCTACATGCATTCTCAACTACGTAAGTGCATTTTGTAGGTTAATAATTACTGACTGCTCATCTGTTGATACACATTTGTCAATCATCCTCTACCCGAGTGGTTCCAAACCCTGGTTGTGGAGGACCCCCTGCCCTGTACATCTTAGTGTTCACTCCTGTAGTTGATATGGTCTATAAGCGCTACACACACCACAATACCACTACCATGTTGGACTCACTACAGTTCTGAGAATGTTCCACCACTCGAATAACATCTGGTGATTTGTGATCCTTTCATGATCTCACATAAATGGAGTCGATAAATTGGGCAGCAAGAGATGTGTAACAGACAGCAATCGTGCACTTACAAAGTGCACCTGTATGGTAGGAGTCCATGATAAAATGGCCAGTCAAAGTAGGTATAGGGTAGGTGTACCTAATAAATGAGCAACAGAGTGTATATCAGTAGAAAATTGTGTCTTGAGTGTGTAAACATTATGGATACATTCATACTATATTCATGAATCTGCATTGACCCTTTAAACTGTATACAAGAAGGTATCAAAGTATCACATAAGAATCTTGTTTCTAGCTGTGCTGAGTTATCTGGGACTGGATGTGAGGTCAAAATTGTGTCACCATGTTGCATCAAAATGCATTGAGATAGTGATTCTACAGGGCACTGCATTAGCTTCTATTAATTGGAAGCACATATGTTCAGATATTCTATGACACCTTTATGAAAGGGCCCAATGTGTGCAATTAACAGACTCCATACCACCGTTAGCCTGCAATACTGACAAAGGTATGTCTGCACTGGCAAATGTATTCTTCCATCTGTGAAGATTAATCACGTCTTTGTAATTAACAATTTTTATTTTCCTGAAAGAAGTAGATCTGTAAGACATACAGACAAAGAATTCACTTATCAGCTCTCAACATGAATGGAGGTATAGTAACTTCTGACCATTCGTGTTAGGGGCCGATGAGTGAATTCTCTGGTTTGTATGCCTTTTGGATGGTAGACCATTCCAGAAATACGTAGTACACTGCTTAGTCATAAAAATTCAACAGCACTGCACTCTCAAATCTTTCTTTTTCTCTCTCATTTCACAGTTGTCTCAAGCTTTAAAGTTGGTGTCAACCAGAAATGTTCCTCCTGCACCATGATGTATTTCTGAGTAAAATGTGGTATTGGGGAGGGTCTGTGAAGGTCTGCGATTTTGCTCCAAGTTAGGTGGGGTTGGAAAAAGGGGTATTATTGGTTAATATTATTTTTGTTCTGCCTACTGGTGCACAGCATCAGTCAAAAACCAGGTGTTTTGGACACAGGCAAAAAGTCATGTTTTCATGAAAGATTATGAAAAAAGCAAGAAACTTGTATTTTAAATGATACAATGAATTGTGCTTAATATGACCAGGGACATGAACTAAGAAGGTTAAAAAATTATATCCTTCTTTAACGTGTCTCTTCATTTATTTTCACTGAAATGGAATGCAGTAACTATGTGAGACTGTGAGAGACATCCCTGATGTTTCATCAGGACACTGTATATAACATAACTTTAATTTTACCAGGAATTCCTCTGTTGCAAGCTGATTATCTTCATAAAAACTGACCTTGTCAAAGGATAAATCAGCATTTAAATAAATGAGAAGACAGAAGCTTAATGTCATGCCTTTTTATTTTTTAGTATTATACAACCTTAGAAGTATAAATATTTGTATAGAATACAACATCTATGACATCCATAGAGTTTCCTTGGGTGAAATACAAAACGCAAAACCACATCTCTTATTGCACAGATCCTAAAAGACAAACAATGAGAAGCAGGGTCTTCTACACAAAACACTAATTTCACACTCAGAGAGAAAAGAAAACTCCAGAAACTATGCAGGATCCTTTAGACCTGACAGACTCAGAACAGATAGATTGGCTACTACAGACTGACAGTCTTCAACGGCACAACCTCCTGGACATCATACTATGATCACGACATACACACTATGATCACGACAGTTTCCTGTGACATAGCACATAGATTTGGCAAATTAATAACACAATATTCAAAATACACATCCATGAATTAGCTGTAAACAAAAATTCAATGTGCTTAGTTAAGGATTTAAACATCAACTGTCAGAATAAAAGGCATGGGGACGGAAAAACAATCCATCCATTAAACATTTTTTGTGGTTCGTTCATGACCATTTTCAAGCTGGCTATGATCGACGACACAATTTGCCCCATTAAACATTCACATTTACTTAATGGTCATGTTATGCTCATTTATGATCTTTGTCCAGAAACACAGTATGTGTTGTAAGTTTTAGTAATAAGGTGCATCTTGTCTCTTCAGGCTTCAAATTCTATGTTTGCAAAGCTTATGAGGAACAGTAAAACTTCAGATTCTGCTACTACAGTTTAAAATCTCTACAATCAATTTCATTTTCTTTGCATGGTGCATTCTATAACATTCATATCCAGCTTCTACATACTGTATGCTCTTTGAATTCTTAAGATACTATATTACATTATTATCATAGTAGTCTACATACTGCAGTTGCCAGGGTATCTTGTCAGTTAAGTAATAGAAAAAGGACTAGGTATGTGGCTCAGAGCAAATATTAAATGTTTTTAAAAGTGATTCAATAGTCTCTCATTCTCTGTCACTTGCCTTTAAGTCACTGGTTTTATAAAATGATGATAAATGTCCAAAGAAATATTTGGATGGGTACATTTAGAGACACGTTATACAGACTACATAGGACATTTTAAAAGTCTTGAATTTGACTGTGTGTAAAATGGATTAGTAGTATTGATTTCAAATGTACAGTCTTTAGACAAGTCTACTGTCAGTGCAAAAATGCCTCTAGATAATTATTACACATGTCCCACTTATATACGCATTACACACTGTACATGACTGATTTCGCGACCAATTGCAGGTATAGTAGACACAACACAGGAGTGCTGGCTGAAAGTCCTGACTGCCTTAATCCTGACTTATCCTGACTAAGGTCATAACAACACAATGCATCCTGTCTTCATTTAGAGCCTTTTCTGCTTATGATCTCCTATTGAGTACATGTTGCTATTCTCATTGTTTTTAATGGTGAACAGTAAAGACTAGCCCTAATATCCTGACAATTTATGTGGAAAACCAGACAGAGTTATGATATACAGCATAGGAGAATTTGAACATTCAGTTTTTAAAAGTATAACTTTTGTGCAGTGTTCTACATCGATCTTTTCCCTTTTTTCACACTTTTGACACCACCATTAAGTTTTCATCAATCACAGTCAAGAGAGGACATTCAAGCTGCTTTCAGCTGTCCAGACAGACTCACTTGGACGAATACATGTTTTGAAGATGAGTTGCGGTAACTGCTATTAGTGTCCATGTAATTTCAAGTACAGCTCATTTCGAAATGAGACCACAATCATGCCTTTTCTGGACTTTTCTACATGAGCTTATTTCATATGGCAACATTTACTATGCATGTGAAAAGATCACTGAGCAACAAACATATTGAGTACAGTATACAAACATATGACATAGCAAAATATATACATATAAAACATACAACACTCATATTCAGCTGATCCCATGGATCACCCTTTGTACAATTAACATTGCTCTATGTACAGTACATTGCATAAAAATTAATCTTCAGTAAATGTAGAGATGTATGTGAAAGGAATGTGAATTTTGCCACAGCCTGCTAAGAACAGCAAGCTGCACTGCCCAAAATATCCTAAGGCCCCTTCCACTAGATATGAGTCCAGAACCGTAAGATGATTCCATTATAAAATAGTTCTAGGTGAGAAGCACAGGACAAAGTGCATTCCCTCTGTGCACCACTACCCAAAACAAAACTGCACACTTTGCCTCTAAGTAGGTCAAAAACAACAAAAAACAATAACAAGAAAGGACAAATTTGGTGGTATTTTTTGTGTGCTGAGACATCAGCACCATTGCTACAAATATTTCATTTGTGGTTTTTCAGCACATGTATAACCACTGCATTTTGCTTGACAACCTTAGTTTGAATACAAGAGAAATGCATGTTACTTTGTTGAAATGCACTGGGATTGCATCTGCGTCTTTATTTCTCACAACTCCACTCAGGCTCAATTGGCACAGATCCTTAATGCCTTTCAAAAGCATAGACTCTGTCCATGCTTATTTGATTGCACACTTTCCTACATGCATCTTGCCTTGCACAACAGGGAGAGCCAAGGGGGGGGGGGACTTTGAGCAGCAAATCAGGTCTACAATTGAAACTACAACTTTTCAGACCCAAAGTATTAACAGAGCACTGCTGATTAGCATACACACTTGCACACTTTTCTCTCGTCCACCATTGAACACTGGAGTAACAGCTTCACCGGTCCTCAGAAAGGAAGGCGTTATGATACAATGCATGGAAACAAAATACGTTTGTCTTGCTGTTTTTCTTAAAAGAAAGATTGAAAAGGTTGATTTGGCAACCATCGAAATCTCTCATGTCACTTTTTATTAGAACCTCGTGGGAGATCCTTGGACTGCTTGGGGCGAGCTGAATCTTTGTCAGGTACTGTGCCTTCCTTGGCCAACGTCACAGACCTCTGTGAGTCTTTACGGTTGGCTTTCTGTGAGGGATCTGGTTTTGAGGTGTCCACTTTAAGTCTCACAGGCTCTCTACTGGACTGTCCAGACATCTCCACTGTGGCACCAGCGCCTTTGACTGTGGGGGATCCACTGGGTATGTGAACCTTAACAGCAGGCACAGGTAGCACTGGCACAGAAGCAAGCTGGGAGCCAGTATGGCCCAAAATCTCTTTCTGGACCTGTGCTCTAGATGCAGGAAGGGTAGGTTCTCTCTGCTCCTTTGGTTTTACATCTATGCTGTCTTTAATGGTGGTCTGCACTGATGGTTTGCTCTCTTGCTTCCCTCTTTCTTCAGTTGCCTTGCCACCATGGTATGTAACTAGTGGGGACTCTACCTTGGGTTTGTTCTTGGAACTTAAAGATCCTTGTTTTGATGGAGCACTGGTAGCTGACTGCTGTGGCTGTTTTACTGTTGCCTGTACAAGACCTGTATCTTTCCCACAAACATCAAGTATTGGCTTGCTGAACTTCTGACTAGACAGTTCTGGAGCCCTTGTGAGTTTTAACTTATCTTCAAGAAGACTTGCAGACTGAACTTGCACAGTATCACTAGTCCTACAAAGAGTACCTTTCATCTTTGGTGGACTGGAACCAGTGTCCTCCTTTAATATGGAGCTGGAGAGGGCCTGACTAGTGGCTAGGACCCCTTGTTTCTCAATCCACTTTACACTTTCACTTTCACTTGCTTTATCTTCAGGTGACATAGCAGTTTTGACAAGCTTCCCAGGCAAACTGCACTCATCTTTCAACTTTTTTGGAATCATGTGAGTTATGTGCTCCTTGTCTATGTTTTTAGATTTGCCTCCACATTGCTCACGATCTTGAGAACTACGTCCCTTGTCAACTCCTACAGCAGCATTTTGTGTCACAACAGAGTTATCTTTAAAGGCCGGATCAGTAACTGTTTGTCTGTCCATTGAAAAAGCAGTGCTTAGTGTTTTGGGAGATAATTGTTTGGGCTGTGTACTTGGAGTACCACTTGGCTTAATTTCCAAAGAGTGCTGTGGGGTTTTTTCTATACTTTGTTGTGATTCGGGAACTACAGCAGCCATGGCTTTAAGAGGAGCAGGTTTGGGAGATTGGTTTGTGTTGATTTTTCTCTGCTTGGTTTGAATAGGAGCATCTGGAGACAATGGGCTTTTAATAACTGGGTTCCCTGGTTCCGGTGAAGATAAAGTAGAAACAGAGGTTGCAACTGAGGGGGATAAAGCTAAACTCTGTGGAGCAGCAACTTTTCCTTTAACTAAGCCCTGTGAGTGTGGCAGTTCTGATTCCACATTTAAAACTGGTGTGTTACTTACTGCATCTCTACCAGTAGTCTTTATGTGTACCTTTTCTGCAATCTTATCTATGATTTGAGCTGTGCTTTCTGGTTTGTTCAGTCCACTTGCTACTAGATGTTGGGAACATTTTTCTTCTTTTTGAGGCAGAGCCTGTGCTGAGGCCATAGTTGACATATGTGTCTCTGCTGTTTTGTCCTTGTCTGTTCTTGATTGATGTACCTGTTCTATCACCACTGTTGAGCTAGTTGTTTTCGATACTTTCCCTGGGCTTTCAAGGCTGTTAAATATTGTAGTTGGGTTCAAGTTCTCTGGACTGACAACTGACTCTCTCACATCTTTAACACCAACATCAGATGGTGCTGAGGTGGTTTCCTTGATGACATGGTCACAGGTCACGGACATATTCGCAGTGCTATTTTGCTGACTAGGTTTGTCCTCAGGGTTTTCCATGTCATCATCTTGGTCTTCGTTACTGACCTCCCTGATCGAGGGTGTTTTCCCACAAGCAAAATGAGTGCTGTGTCGGGCAGCCCTCATCTCCTGAGCTGTTTTCAACCTCGTCTCCAATTTTCCACCTGGGTCCACTGGCTCCATTTTAGTAGACATGACCTGTAACTTGATTCCTTCACCCTGCTTATTTGCCTCTTGAGTACCATCACTGCTAATGGAACCAATGATGTTATTTCCATTAGTCGTGGGTTGTTCTTTTCCAGTGTTTTTGTTGGTCAAAGTCACACTGGCCCCATTGCTTTCCACTCCCGGTGGAGATGATGTCTGTTTCTTCACAGGCTTCTGCTGAGGGCTTAGCAGCTGCTTCTCACTCTGGCTCTGTAGAGCTCCTGCCAGCCCAACACCATTGACCTGGCCACCTGCCATCTTGGAAAGACATGTGTCAGTCTTGGAGACCCTGGGTCCAGAGAGCAGGCCTATGTCCAGCGTGCCCTCTAAAGGTTTCAGGGAAGACACAAGTCGCCCCTCTAGTTTGTACTCAGATGAGGTCTTTCTGATGGACCCCTCGGTGGAGGAAATCATCTGCAGCTTCTCCACTGCACTCTCCCCTCGCCCACTGAATAGCTTAGGGCCCAAGGACTCTGTGCCAATTCCAGGAGTGGCGTGGACGCATCCAACTGACCCTTTTGTATGATCCAATGTCAAAGCAGAGTCCAGCTGGAGACTTTTGGATCTGGTGGCATTAAAGTGAAGGCTTTCATGGACACCAGGGTTAATCCAACACATGCAGTCCTCACGTTCCTCAAAAGACTGCCTCTTTCTAGCAAACTCCATGTTGGGAGCTTTGAAATCAAGCCTGTCTTGTTTACTTCCCTCTTTAATCTGTCTGGAGAGTTGCCTTTCTGCCGGAGTTTGGGCTGATCTGACACCTTCACTTAAGAGTGAGACACAGTCCCCGGTACTGCTGAGGGATTCCACTACGCCTTCACATGCTCTGGTGTTTAGCTTTTTGTATAAGACATCTTTTAGTGTGGCATTTGCAGCTTTGCTCTCAAGTGAGCCAGGCTCAGTGCTGTTTTGGGGTCTGCCTGCGGCTCGTCCATGATGCCCCCTTTCCTTATCGTCATTGGGGTGGGAGCATGAGGCAGCCTCAGCCTCTTGCAGTGTATCTTGTTTTTGCAGGGACTCACGTCTCTCAGACCAGTCCTGCCTTTTTGCCACCACTTTTGCCTTTAACTTCTCTTTATCAAGCTCCTCCACAGATTCCTGCCGTCCAACCTTACGAGAGACAGGACGCTTCAGGCAGCCCTGTTCAGCAGGTCTTACCCGGGTAATGGCAGGCGGTTCACAAGAGTTTTCCTCCACACACTGTAGGGTGTGCTCTCCTCCGGATGCAACCTCACACTGTGCCTCCTCCTGAGTTACCTCGAGGCTGTGTTTCCTGGTGCAGAGATGCTTCTTGTCACCTGTGTAGGATGGTGAGAGCTTTTCCTCTGACTGGACCCTCTTAAGGAGTGGGGACCGAGGGGGCTCAGCGCTTTTAGGACGCACCATGTGCCTGACGATTGTAGGGGGTGAGTGCATCTTGGCAGGGAAGGCCTGAGTGGTCTTGGAGCTTCCGACTGTGTGGGTTAGCAGGGGAGATGGGGACCGCTGAGGTGATGTGGGCTGAGGGGTTGGAGATGGTGTTCGAGCCAACGGAGAGAGAGGGATGCTTCCTGCAGATTTGCGGCGGCCCTGGCGCAGACGCTGTCCAGGCAGCTTAGGGCCTAAGCCATGCAAGGTGTTCGGTCGGACGTGGCCAGAGCCAGCAGGGGAATTTGGAGCACTGGAGCTGGGTGAACTACTCTGAGAAGATGTGCCACCTGGGAACACAGTGGAAAAGAACATATCTACATAAGCAAACAGCAAAGGCTACCTCTGAAAACAGCGTCTGAAAGTAAGCCATTAAATGTTCACATCCTAACACTCATTATTATTCAGTGACTACACAGAAAACAATGCAAAATGTCTGAGTCATTATTAAATTATAGGAGGGAGGACTCTTGTACTTGCTAGGAGGGTCCAGCAATGTTTAAGGGGTTCATTTTCTTTTCACTATTAAAAAGCTGTAGTTAATCTACGAAGTGGGGCAATTGAAGACATGCAATAAAGCATGAAAAGAAACAAGCAAAATAAGTTATATCCATTCTAAAAACTGCAAACAAGAGTTCTGACCTGACTGGTTGAAATCAGGGGTGGGTCGAAAGGCAGTGGTGGGAGAGCGGGGAGACAAGCTGTGCGTGGGGGATCCAGGCAGACTCTCCCCTGAGGATAGCGAGCGGTTCAAGGAGGTGAAACTACGGCTTGTGTGGAGCAGCGGAGAGGGCTGCATGGCAAATCGTCGGAATACTGAACGCCTCCTGAAGAAAGAAGATATCAAATTGTCACTGAGCTCTACTGTTGGTGTTTGAAATAAAGTGAAGCATGTAAGACAAATTGAACAACAGCTACCTCTAGTGGCGAGGTCAGGTGCATCATGCAGTCACACTACTTTATCAACAAGACTCACCGCTCTTGTGTTTTCTCTTTCTTTGGCTTCTTGGTTCTCCTTATCATTTTGCTCCTGTAACTATTCCTTCTAGCTGGACCAGTTTTGATCGAAGTATTCTCAAAAGGAGTGGTGGATATGGCAACTTTGCTTCCACTCTGTAAACAAAGAGGCAACATAATTTCATAGCTGTCACACTAATATCTGTCCAAGCCACTGAAATACTGTCATCACAGTAGTGAGAATGAAATTCTCACCTTCAGCAGTAGCTCAACCACTTCAGTGTGTACCAGTCCATGGACTGTTTCTCCATTGACATGAGTGATCAAGTCTCCAGCCTTGAGTCCAGCCTTATGAGCAGGCCCACCATCCTCCACATTCTGACAAAAAGGTTTTTAAAAAATGTGATCTACAGATTTGTTTGCAGGGTACATTACAACAATATAGTCAAAAAGGCAAGGACAGATTTATACACTATGATAAAAATGTTTTGGGACCTAGCTTTTCAATCAGTTTTAGTCATATGAGCATGTTTTCTTTATTGAGTTACAATAATTTAACATATTAAAGACTAACCAGGATTACTTTGAGAGAAAGCAATATCACATGTAAATATTAGGACAGTACTACCTTGAGAACAATGCCATGCACCCTATGCATTCTATCCCCTTATAAGTTTAGATGAGAAAACTGTGGACAAAACCCACTCTTTATACCAAATAAGATACTATAATGAACAAAAAGCTGAGTGTGTATATAGCTATTCTAAATTAAAAATGTTAATAGACAGTGGTATGGTGTCTGAGAAGGCCCAACAAACTGCAAATAAAAATGAGTTGCAAACGCCAAAAACACTTTCATCAAAATGACGACACCGGCGCCGCACTTCACAATCGCACTGCAAATACAAAAAACACATGGAACTTCACAACCGTTGATAAGCCAGTCACAACACAACAGAGATGTTTCCGGAGGACCCTCAAAGAGGACTGAGCCATTCAGACTTTTACATTCAATGCAGCATAAACATTCACTGGTAAAAGTAAGTTCACTTTTATTTGTGCAGTTTACTACTATCACGGTATTGTAATGGGAATTACCTGTAAAGTGTAAATGTAAAAGTTTAACTAGTAATTAACAGATAACTACGCACTTAATAAAGATGGTTCCTCAAGGGTTCTTTAGTAAAGAAAACGGTTCTTTATAGAACCATGAACACTCAAAGAACCCTTTGTGTGATTAAAGGGTTATTTGCATCGTTAAAGGGTTCTTCAGATTTACAGAGAAAAAGGGTTAAAGTGTTCTTCAAATTTATGAAGAGTGCGTTTTATATGGTTCTATATAGAACCTTCTAGAAAGGGTTCTATGCAGCACCAAAAGGGTTTTTCTATTGTTACATACTTGACATCGTAGCAATAGAAGAACCCTTGCCGGTGCTATATAGAACCTTTTTCAAAAAGGTTCTACATAGAACCTTATAAAACACATTCTTCATCAATCTGAAGAACACTTTAACCCTTTTTCTCTGTAAATCTTTTTTAAGTGTGTACCACAGCACAGCTATATGTCAAACAGTAAACTAGCCAGCCAGGTTAACCATGAACTTGGGATGTGAGTGTCTGTGGTCTTATACTCCTGTCAGTGATTTCCCATCATATTCAATCCCCTTTGAGTCTTCCAGAAACATTTCCGTTGTGATCTGGCTCACTTCCATTGCGTTGTGACTGGCTTTGCAGCATTTCTAAAGTTGTCTGTGTTTTCTTTATTTGCAATGTTTGTAAAATGTAGAGTTTGCAATGTGTTTTTAATTGTACTGTGAATATGGTCTTGTCAGCCACTGTACAGTGGAACTGAAAATGTAATATTGAACTAGACTGACTATGAAAAATGCATTGACACAATGTTCCAAATCTCATTTAACCTCTTACCCAGACCATGTGATAGACAGTATAGACATCACTGTCGCAAGCATAGACTCGAATAGCTCGCAGAGTGAAGCCAAACTTCTTTCCTGAACTGTGAATGACGATAGGCTGACGTGAGCTGACAGCAGAGAGGGAGGAGTCACGGCTTGGGGAGGAGTCTCTGGAGGAGGGGTCTGATGACAGTGAGTACGGAGAAATGGGGCTAGCCAGTGGAGACGTACCAAAAACATCTGGAGGAACAGTAAAAGATGCACACTACATTGGTTAATGTCAAAGAAACAAATATAGAGGTGTACTTCTGTATCTGATCTCATTGTTTTTATTAAACACAGGGGAAACAAGGGGGAAAAAAAATCCCCTATGATGTTTCTGTGGTGATATTTACCAAAAACAGTCATAACTCTGTAGACTAAACATGCTTATATAAATTGTACATTTTTAAATTTGTAAACTTGTTGGTTTTCATGACATTGCACAAAGGACAAATTCCAAATGTCCTGTTTTCAAAGTTTAATTTGCCATATGTGGATCATGTGGACATGCGAAAAATGAAAGAAATTCATTTTTTACTGTAATGGGCCCTTAAAATGTTCAAGTAATGGTAATGGTGCGTTCTCTCCTACTGTGAGTGAGACAGACAGGATTATCCTCTCCCCCTGAACTGCTGAGATGCCCTGATTTTGCCGCAGGTCACTATGTTCGAGAAGTCATAGCTCTAGTCCTTAGCTGTTCCACAAAATGTAGTGCTCACAGTGGGAGCTAAGCTATGGCGAATTTTAAAGCTTGCACACACCTCCTTCAGCCCACGTTGCCTAATTCTGTGTGTAATCTACAAATAAAAAAAGCATACACTTTCTCCTTCATGCTTCAGAGGGGCATAGGCTCTGTGCAAACACAAATATGCTCAAATACTGATACAAACTCACCACCAGGGATCATGAGAGACAATGCATTGGCGGACGCTGACTTAGGAACTTTGCTGACAGCGCTCGGCTTATCAGTGGCCTCAGGTCTCAAGGTAGTCAGCTGGGTGCTGGTGTCAGTGGATGGCCTACAGGTGCTGTCTGAGCTGTCTACTCCTTCTGGCCTCGATGGCAGCTGGTCCAAGTGCTCAGAGAAGCTGCCTGTTTAAACAGAGGTGAAAAAAACAACCACTTTATTTTGATTAACTTACATTCAACTACTCACAGTTGGAACACCCCTGGAAAATGACATGTTTTGTTGATTCTCTATGTGAAAATAAGTTAACACATCCTCAAAAGGGAACAAACTTAAACATGTAATTTTCTGAAAATGTTACTGCCCATGTTTAGTTTTACATAATGGAAAAAATAAACCATAAAATATGAATTGTGCTATAATAAGCTAAATTCAGCCCAGACATGTGTTCGCTGTACGGGATGTGTACTTACTTTCACTTAAAGAGTAAAACATAATTTGGCCAGGCCGGAACTTTTGCATAAAACTGTATTTGTTAGGACACAAACCAAGTGCCACTTCTGTTAAACAGACCATTGCAAGACTTTAACTTTCTTTTTGAAAATATTCTTTCAAAAAACTGGTATGATTGTTAATGATTGTTAATGATTAATTAATTCTTTGCAGACATCTGCATATTTGCATCTGAAATGCATCTGAAATGCATTCTGGATTCACAATCCTATCAATGAATATATGCACACCAAAATAACCCCGTAAGAAACCCTGCCCCAGACTTACATTTCCACCTCTTTGCTTTATAGTACCCTTGGTGTAGTCTTATTGGAATTCACCTCCAAGCTTTCACCACACAAGCAGTCTACCATCAGTCTCTTGAAAGATCTGTCATTTTGTTAAACATTTTATAAAGTAACCTAGAGAACAAAGTTTACCAATGGTTAAATGGTTAAAGTGTCCAAATACGTTTGGGGGCCACTGTATCTATTAAGTTTAACTTCCCTTTTCCCCAAGCCAAAACACTAACCTTAACCTTACCCTCAACCTAAAACCTACCTCTTATCCTCTGTCAGACCCTGCTGATAATCAGTGGCGTGCCACAAGGCAAGTTATCCATATGTTCTCAGACTAGCCTGTTCTACCACAAAATTTGACGCCTGCACTTCAGCATGCATGCTTGTACCCATCCTTAACCACAGGCTCAGTGATATGTTCAGATCTTCCCTTTTACCTGAAAGGGTGGAGTTGCTAACAGTGCTGCAGGGAGTGGTGGCGTCAGGCTCATCTTGAGGCAGCTCTCCGATGGAGAAGTCCAATTTACTGGGGTCCTCCAGGGCCAGTGAGCCCTCACAGCTCTCTACTTCCGCTGAAATGGCAAACTTAGGCAGCAGACCCGAACGCCTACCCAGGCTGGTGCTCTCAGTGTCAGACGAGTGTGACAGAGATGGCCTGCTCACAAGAAAAACATGGGAAATAATCTGTGGTTACAATAACACAATTTACAGCAGTGGTCTGCATTTTATTTTCACAGTAGCTTTAGGCTGATAGTAAGTGCACACTCACACTTTGAACACTCATTCTTATTTATGGTGAGTTAAAAATGTATACAATAGAAAAGAATGCAGTTAATTACATATAATAGAACATCAACTAAGTAACTACACACATACAAATTTTGCACACCACTCGGAAAGATTATAATAATTTTTTAGTCTGTTGTGCGAGAAAGCAAGAAATAAACAGAACCGCTGAACGTTAACAGTTACATGCTGTATATTATAAAATTATAAGTATTTTTAACATCATAATATTAGAAGCTAGCCCTTAGTGTAAGGCTCATATGTGGTACTAAATTTGGATCTTGGATGATGCTGTTTATTGCAATAATTCTGCCAACAATATCCTTGCAGCTTATTTTACAGTAGGCACACTGTAAAATAAAAGTAGGCCTCACCTGGTCATCATATAGCCTTTAACAGCCTACAATCTGTTGCATTTGAAATGTTGATAGTTAGGTGTGAAGTATTTTCTAGGCATTTTCACAATCATTGAATATGGTGCATTTTACAGTCTACAAGCCTACCTTGCTAGTATTTATAAACCTAACACTGATAACACATTATTAGATTTTTACTCAGAAAACTAAAAAATACAAAACTTCTCCACTGGGTCTGAACTTCTACTGTAGCATGTTGTTTTCGCTTAGCACTATTAAGTAAAGGCTAAAATAACTGATTAGGCCAACTTTAGCTACTGTTTAGTGCACAACAAAGCTTTAGCCTTGACACCATGCATAAAGAGGCATGCTAAATTTGGGTTCCATAATCTGTTAATTCAATAAAAAAAGATAAAAATGTCAAGGGCATCAACATGCCTACATGCGTGTAGACCACTGGTTTAAATATTTATACCAATGCAAAACTAATGCAAAGTAAATAAAACAAATCTAAACTAGCTAACTAATATCTTGCGCATGTACACCCTGTCTTTCATATTCAAGCAAGGACTGAGCAGGGAACATAATAAAAGTACAACTTGTTATGGACTTACATCTCTGTGAAGTCTGGGGTCCAGCTGAGTGAGTCGACAGTCAGAGGACTCTCACTCTTCTTCTCCGCTTGCTCTCCCTTCTCCTCCAGCTGCCCACGGGATAGATCCAGACTGCTGTACACCTACAGCCGTCATAAACATGCAGGTTCTTAATAGTTAACAAATATTAATAGTTATATGCATTTCTGTCACAAGACAGCAGTAGAAGAGGAAAGGTATAAAAAATATGTGTAAAACTGAAGGTACAGTTCAAATCGATTTAAGAGAATTGTGTATGTAATGAACACAAGCATCAGAAATTGAAAATCTTAGCTAAAAACTAGCATCAGCTTAAATCTTGTATAAGTGAATCAAGAAAAACCTGTGCTGCACACATGACAATATTCCTGGATCCATACTGCAATGCACCAAAACCATTTGTGTGCAGACTATAAAGAGCCAGACTGTTTGTTGTGCTTTTGTTTCCAATCCTCCTGAAAAGCACAGGCTGTACACATGATGGCAAATGCATGAAAAGGAGCTGTGCTCAACGTCAAAAACTAATGCTACAGTGGGTGAGGGGGAAGAGGCTCTTTTGGATTATTGCTTCAGCCTTAACAATGAGAGATCTAAAGAATCCTAAACATTCACATCTTATGTGCTTGGCTTGAAGTAATTTGGATGGTACTGATTGTGCATTATGCTGGCACGCAAGAGCTTTTGAAGTTTATCGACTAGTGTGCATGCATTTGGGTATGTGCAGAGTGTTATTGCAGGGGAGGAAGCTCACTTTGGAGAATCTGTGTGAGGAAGATGAAAACTGGCGCAGCTCAACATTGAAGTCTTCATCATTTGTGTCATCCTCTTCCTCAGTTTCCAGGTGATGGTATCTTTCGGATCGGGCTAAATACAAATAAAAAATATGAGCATGAAGAACTTTTATGCCCATTCACTGATATGCACATACATTTATCTTTCAAAGGATTACTCCTTTGTATGTTTGGAACGAGTAAAAGGACATGCTAAGCTACAACAGTTTTATTGGAAGTCTTAAATCATAAAGGCTTGGGTTCCTGGACATGGGTTTAGCATAGTCCTGGACTACATATTTCCTTCCATTCAGATAGCTGTGTGGTCTAGGACTAGTCTTAGTCCCTGTCTAAGAAACCAACCCGAAGACACAAAAAGGAAGCTCATCAAAAGAGTGCATTGGATCAGTATTGGCTGATACTCAAGGTTTCTGTTCCAGTACCAGAAAAGAAAAAAAATGGTATTGTGCCATCTCTAGTTGTATCTTTAGCTATTAAATGTTATCTTTTTGCATCAGTCAATAGCTCCACAATTACAAAAAACTAGTGCGGTGTTACTAAATCCAAAAATGTTAAACCATTTGGTGGGCCCCAAGGCAAAGCTGAACTACCATACTTCAAGATGGGTTATCCATGATTTTGATATTAATAATGGGTGCACAATGTATTGGGGGTCTGATATATTATTATCTGATAAATCTGAAATTGTAATGTTATTACTGGTCCAGTTTGTGTACAGTAAGTGTGTGATGCTGTTTTAAACATTGTTATAGACTGTTTGGTTGTCTTAGCTGCAAATCCGTTCATGACCAGAGACACACCAAAAACCTTGATTCATGTAGAAAGCAGCAGTCTGACACTTTCTGGCTCTCAGCCCTGCTCTGCAAGCATGACTCAGAAACAACCTCCCCCCACCCCCACCCTCAACACACACACACACACGCACACAAACACACACACACACACACACACGCACATGCGCGCTCACACACACGCACATGCGCGCTCACACACGCACACACGCACAAGTACTGACTGTCAAAGTAGCTGGTGTCATCCTCAGACTCCAACTGGGGGATAAATTCAGCCTTCTGCCTGAGTAGACTGTTCCAATCCAGACTGTGGAAGAATTGGTGGTGCTTGACCTCGTAGGCTCCTCCTGCTGATATGTATACACACACACACACACACACACACACACACACACACACACACACACACACACACACACACAGACAGAGAGAGAGAAAACAGTCAACTTCAACTAGAAGGTCACAAAGATAGAACAAACATTTCAGAACATGTAAATCAAAAATCGGTAATACTTTACTCAAACCCTGCTACATAACATTGACATAATCATGTCATGGCAACCCAGCATATGACAACTGCCATGACATATTTATTTTTTTTATTTATTTTCTTTGAGTATTATTTTGCTGTAAATCACCTTGCACGTATCTCTCCGTCCTGAACGTGTCTTTAAAATATGTTTTATCACTAGATGGTGTCATTAGGTAATGTATTTGTGTTACATCTTAATGACATGATTCTGCCAAAATGTTTAAAAATCAGTGGTATTCTCCTTTAAAATCAGGTTATACTCAGCACTAATTAATTACTTTATGCATGTTCAAACCATGCAGAGATGAGAGAGAGCCATAATGTCAGTCTTTCACAGACATGGTTTTGACATATGCTGGAAACTCAGCAGTGAAAAGTAGATGCTTCCTCAGGACAGGATAGAAAGCGTAGAGTCAGGTGTTTTTTGTTCACTGGCAGCCAACGCTGATATCGCAGTCATAAATTATGCAATGCAATTTCCTGCGAGTGACCTTTCAGGAAGACTGGAGGTCCAGCTGAATGACACTGGTTCTGATGAATGTGTCCCTCCATGTGTTATTTTAATCGACTGGAGGGAAAGATTTCTGTTTGAGAAAGGAGGTTGTTCTCTATTGCCTGTGGAACCTGACATGCAAAGGTACACTGTACCTGTTGACATTCATGGAAGATGCTGAGACAGTTTCACTGTGCTTCTGTGATTAAAAACTAGTTTTTATAATAAAGTGAATACCCCATATAGTTAGACTGGTTTATCTTCTTGGAAAATAATTTGGCACAACAAATTCATCAGTTAGATTACTAAAAACTTGTAAAATGTACCCAAATCTGAATGACAGCACGAGAATAACATTAGGGCCGAAAGAGTTGTTATTTTTACACAAATCAACCGTAACACTAAAAACACCTCCTTGTTTCTACACTCTTTGTCCATTTTCATCAGCTCCGCTTAACATAAAGGTGCACTTTGTAGTTCTACAATTACAGACTGTAGTCCATCTGTTGCTCTGAATACTTTGTTAGCCCCATTTCACCCTGTTCTTTAATGGTCAGGACCCCAACAGAGCAGGTGGTGGATCTGGGTGGTGGATTATTCTCAGCACTGCTGTGACACTGTCATGTTGGGGGTGTGTTAGTGTGTGTTGCGTGCATACGAGTGGATCAGACGCAGCAGTGCTGCTAGAGTTTTTAAACACTGTGTCCACTCTCTGTCCACTCTATTAGCCACACCTACCTAGTTTGTCCACCTTGTAGATGTAAAGTCAGAGAAAATAGCTCATCTCTTACTGCACAGTTAGTGTTACTCATCCTCTTGTCCTTCATCAGTAGTTACAAGACGCTGCCAACAGGATGCTGTTGGCTGGATTTTTTTGGTTGGTGGACTATTCTCAGACAAGTGTATGCAGAGCAAAATGGACAACGAGTGTAGAAACAAGGAGGTGGTTTTAATGATAAGGCTGATCAGGGTATATCGTAGTTGCAATTAGAAAAAGTCAAAATGCAAGAGCTGCAATTTTAATTATAGCCTACATTATGAACAGCGTTGCCCTGTATAGGATCCTAAAAAAACAAGAAAGTAACTTGTTTAAAACAGCTGCCAGAGAAGATCTGGAAGTTTCGGAATTCGGATTAGTAAGCGTTTATTATTGATTTGTTTAATCAGAGTAAATGTTTGTGACACTGTGACACAAAGAGAATAAACTCTCCAATTTTTTTGAATTGTTAAACCAAGTTCTTTACACATAAAACAATTCAGAAATTAATAGAAAAGAGTAGAAGCAGAAATAGCCATTTTTTTGGATTGGCCTTAAAGTGGACAATATGACAATATTTTATTGTTATTGTTATAAAATCTGCTATTATAATAAACAATATGCTTCTCTGAGCATAATGTAGATTTCGTTAGTACTTTAGGAACACTGACCAACTGCCTGTTTTATTACAAAGGGAGCACAATTAGGCCTGTTTAATTGGATTTATTACAGTACAGTTTGTGGGGACATTTAACCTAACAACAGAGCTTGTGAACTGAATGTAGATACGTTAGACCACTCAGAAGCAAGCAAACACCCATGTGCTGTGTAGATGAAAACACAACTACAACTAACTGGCTGTCTGGCACACTACTTCAGTGTTCAAGCCTCAAAATGAGAAGGAAAAAAAAAAAGACTTGAAAAATTCTGGGAAACACCACCTCAGGGCCATAATATCTATATCATTTAAAACTATGAGTTTTAGAGGTTTATTTGAGTTCAAGAAACATGACAATTAAGAAAATACAATGAAATCAGTCAGTACAGTACTACATAATATAAATGTAAAATTATATCAGACAATGTTATCAGTTATCTCAACTTTTAGTCCCTTAAAATCAGTAAGGGTATCAGCCACAAAATTTTCACACTGACCAGGCCCTAATTATGATACACTTGGATAGATATGATGCACCCAACACCAATAGCATGCTACCATTACAAAGATCGTTGCAGCCCTATCTGAGAGGTGAGAAATGTACTGTAAACAGTATTGGTGTTTCTCCTGATAAGCATTCAAGAGCAGGTGTGAGAATGAAGCTGTACCAGTGCCCAGCCGCTCCAGAGGGTTCTGCCTGAGCAACAGTGTGATGAGCTCCTGAGCGTCAGCTGGTGGAGCATCTTCTCCCTCAGGCCAGTTTATCTCGTCTTGAAAGAAACAAAAGCAAACACATACCTCGTCACCGTCCAGACATTACAAGACCCTAGCATTTACTCAACAACAAACACACTAGAGGTGAAAACAGTTCGGCCATTGAGCTTTCATCGCACTAATGAGATCTATTACCTATCTGTCAAATTACACAAACAAATATGCAGGACTCTTTCCCACATGAAATCAAACAATGGGATGCTCATCCTGTATTGGTTTGAATCACAATATCTAGTGTACATAAGCAGGCATGCATAAACATCAGAACGACTCATGTAATTTGCATCTGCTTAGGGGATGTGCCCAGGGCTCTGAATAGAGGATGCCTTGTTTATGCTGATCCAAGACCAGCAGAGAGGATGCTTCACTAAAAGGCCATAGGTGGAGATAGATGAGAGTCTGCATTTTATTTGGGCCTGAATTGTCTCCACGGCAGCATGGGTCGCACGTTTTAATCAAATTTGGGGGCATGAATATGCATCCATGCCCAGGGCAATGGCAACTAGCACTGCCTTTTCCTGGCACCTTAATTAACACTCAGTCCCATGGTAACCCCATGATGGAGAGCAAACCAAATGTATCCTGTCGCTTCATTAATTTTCAGAGATGCATTGCCTCATACTCATTTAGCGAAAGAGGACCTACAGTCTGAAGGAGTCAGTGTCAACATTTTATAAAGGTGAATCACTCCAGATGAATTAGAATTCTGAACCTAACTAGATTGAAGCTTAATATGAGAGCTTTGCATAAAAATACAAGACCTTAACATAATAATCTAGGTTAGAAAAATGTTTCAAATGTAACACTGAAGCTTCAAAAACTTTTAAGGAAAGACTACCTCCAGTTTGCAGTAATAGTTAACCAAACTAAAAAGCAAGCTGAATATGTGGTTGACACAGACACAACATTGCAGAAAAAAGACATACATTGGGTTATCCGACATAACCATGAGTGATATAGGTAGGAGATCTAATACACATTGCTTAGGTAGGAGATCTACTACACGTTGGTGAGAGCATCCTGAGCAGCTGCATTACTGCCTGGTTTGGGAATTGCACTGCCTCCGACTGCAAGACCCTCCAGCGAATAGTGAGGACAGCTGAAAAGATCATTGGGGTCTCTCTCCCCTCCATTACGGACATTTACACCACACACTGCATCTGAAAAGCCACTAGCATTGTGAATGACCACACACACCCCTCACACAAACTTCTTTCTCTTCTGCCATCTGGAAGAAGGTACCGCAGTATTCGGGCCCTCACATCCAGACTAGGCAACAGTTTCTTTCAACAAGCCATCACATTCCTTAACTCCCACAGACCCACACACACATATACATAACACCCACATGGACACACACACATATACATAAAAATACATAAAATACGGCACTAACTCACTCCCCACTTCTTGCAGTTCCAAATTATGGAACACTGTAAAAATATAATTACTGCATTTCACTGAAACACTTCATTTGACATGACTGCAAATCTACGTATATGCTAGGCTATCTGCTAAGATGCTAATATGTCATAGTATGTTACATCCTCCTTTGCACAACTCCACATACACTCAGTACCTTGTACTGCCTGTGTCCTGTTTTGTATTTACTGTAAGTCTTTCGTATTTATTTATTGTACTGTATTGTCTTGCACTTGTGTTCCTGTGTTGCACCATGGTCCTGGAGGAATGTTGTTTCATTTCACTTTCACAGTGTACTTGTATATAGCTGAAATGTCAATAAAGCCTGACTTGACTTGACTTTCAGCTAAAAGAGCCTCTTTGGTATAGATCAACTCTTGATATGAATATAAAGAGAAAGCGAATAATGACACTGACCACTAATGACTTGACCAAAGAGCTCCTCTGGTGTGTCTCCAAAGAAGGGTACGCATCCTACAAGGAACTCATATAGGATGATCCCCATAGCCCACCAGTCCACTGGCTTCCCGTAGCCCTGTCTCAGGATCACCTCTGGAGCGATGTACTCAGGAGTGCCACACACCTACAACAGATAAGCTCATGACTCAACTTAAACATTCTTAAAACTGTAAGATGTCACTGTGTCTTGAATTAAATGCTTGATTCTGAATGTAGGGAAAAAGTGTCCCATAATTTTTTCCAAATCTGAATTTTAACTACACACATACACACATTTAAGTGCATCTTAGTCAATGTTTATTAGTAATTCTTCTGTCACCATAAACATTATTACTAATATTGTTGGTGTTGCTGTTGTACAAAAATATAGTGTTTAATAAATATTTTAGTGTTCAACTGAATCGATTAAACTTACATTTAGTAGAACTATATGTGACACTTACTCAGATAGCAGTGGCATATTTGCTGAACACAAGTGAAGTTATGTAAGTGAAATGCAATAGAGGGCAGTTAATTCTGTGTTCTGAGTAGATTCATTCTTTAATAATCAAGGCCCTCACAGGACCACCACAGAGCAGGTATTATTTGGGTGTTAATGTGTCGCACTGCTATATGTGGATCTCTGACTTTACATTTACAAGTTGGACAAACAAGGTAGGTGTGTCTAACAGAGTGCACAGTACACAGTGTGCACAGTGTTTAGAAACTCCAGCAGCACTGCTGTATCGAATCCACTTATACCAGCACAACACTCAATAACATGCCATCACCATGTCAGTGTCACTGCAGTGCTGAGAATAATCCACCATTCAAATAATACCTGCTGGTCCCTTAAAGGTTTTGACCTTTTTAAAGAACAGGGTAAAACAGAGCAGACATACAGGCAAACAGACTACAGTCTGTAATTGTAGAACTATACAGTGCACCTATATGTTAATTAGAGCTAATCAAAGAGTGTAGATACAAGTAGTAGAAAGCGATATACCAGTTCATTGTTTTTTTTTTCAGTTTTGTCATTACCATTATACTAAGCCAGCTGCTTCAGGCGATGCCGCGGTCTCAAGCTACAAGACAAAAGGCTTTTCAGCTTATCAGATAAAATTGATAGTGTTAACGGCTCCTAATATTTCCTAATTTCCAACCGTGCCTGACGGTCGTAGGCTAAAGAGTGTAAGAGATGGACATTTGAGACAAATGACTTTTGGGCATAAAACAACATTCAGCACCATTTTTGCTGCACTCAGAGAAGCCGCTGTGGGCTTTACATACACTCACCTTTATCTCATTAGTGTTAGAAATCAATATTGACATCTGTCCATGTATGGTTAATTTATGTTTTTACTATTTTACTATCACCCAATAAAAATATTTTAGATTTACTTCAGTTGTTAACTACGGTTCTGATTAAAAGTGACTGGACATCCAGAATAATATACAATAATAATTTACAAAAAAAGATTTACTTAAGCATCCAAAATGGTTTTATTTGAAAAAAAATATACATGAACACACTATTCTGTCATCTGTACTGAAACCATCAGTAATCTTAATCTTATACTGTGATATAAATTTTGTTCATACTGCCCACTGCTAGATATAAGGTAGGAATAATTAATGAAGTGGCCGGTAGTTGTGCAGTGGGGTCTAAAAGTCCAAGAATACTGAGCACACTAGAAAAATCTTCTATTTTGCATTTCTTTATCGTTTAATAAAAAGGTTTTCATTACAATTTTTATTATCAGCAAAACAAATTTGAATGAAAAGTAGAATCTTTTACATTTCTACATTTAACATTAGCAGTAAAATGACATATTTAATTTTGTTCATGGCAGAGGGTATATTAACTTATTTTCAAAATCAACTAAACACGTCATCTGACCAAACTTTTGCCTAAGACTGTAAAAGAAGAATACCATATAGACCAATAAATCTTCCAAACTTCTGTAACCTTACCTGTTTATCTAAGAACTCTCTGGCATCCTTCTCTATGTGGCCCTCATATAGGTTAGTGGTCATGTTCATCAAGCCCACCTTTGACAAGCCAAAGTCAGTCAACTTGATGTGTCCCATTGAAGTGACCAGCAAACTGTAAAAGTACATTGACAATTGTACATAAATACCAGAAACAAAGATGCTACACATGCACAATAACTGAGATAACTACGTTTGTGATCTTATAGTCCCTTGCAATGAGTAACATAAGTGACAGGGCAGCAGATGATGTGGGAAGCTTACTTGTCTGGTTTTAGATCTCGATGAACAATGCCATAGTTGTGCAGGTACTCCAGGGCAAGAACCGTCTCTGCAAAGTACATTCTGGCCATGTCCACAGGGAGAGGACCCATGTTCTTCAGCAAAGTGGCACAGTCACCACCTGTTAAAACAGTCTTTACTTTGAGACATTCACTTTGTACTTTTAATCAGCTTAGGTCTTTTTAAGGGGTGTATGATCATTTAAACAGTCGTATTCAAAGTGAAAATCCTCCACAGAGAACACGTCTACACATTGTAATACACAGTTACTGTTTTTTTTGCTGAATTTAACATACTGGGGGGAACAAAACAAAAAAATGTGGTCTGTGCAAAAGTTATGGCACATTTTATGTTTTACGTTTTGTTTTGTATTAAAATTTCATAGTTAATTTTGTTCCTTAAAGAAGATGAGATACCTTATTTTCACTCAGAAATTCAACAAAACATATTATTTGACTGGGTTTAAACTTTTGCATATGACTGTACATAAATCATATGCATATAACCCTGTTTATACTTTACTCTCTCTCCCTCTATATATATATATATATATATTTTAACATACTTGGACATGTGGAAATAACATCAATAACAATACTGAGAATGAGCTTTCTTCGCAGGGTGGCGGGCTACACTCTATTTGATAGGGTGAGGAGCTCGGCCATCCGGGAGGAGCTTGGAGTAGAGCCGCTACTCCTCCGCATTGAGAGGAGCCAGCTGAGGTGGTTCGGGCATCTGATCCGGATGCCCCCGGGACGCCTCCCGGTGGGGGTGTACCAGGCACGGCCTACCGGAATAAGACCCCGGGGTCGTCCTAGGACCCGCTGGAGGGATTATATCTCCAAGTTGGCCTGGGAGCGGCTTGGGGTCCCCGGGAATGAGCTGGAGGAAGTTGCGGGGGACAGGGTCACCTGGGATTCTCTGCTCTCCCAACTGCTACCGCGACCCTATCTGGACTAAGCGGTTAACGATGATGATGATGATGATGACAATACTGAGAGATTCAAGTAATATAACTAAACAATTAAAACTGAAGAAAAGACTTTTTAAAACTTTCTGTAAAGTGTAATAAAAAAAAATGCAATTTCTGGTGAGAAATAAATTAGGACAACCCACATTTACTCCCACTTAAAATGGCTAAAATCACACACAGTTATATCACAGCAGGCACACACGATTAGAACATCGTTACTCAGCATTTTGAAGGAGGCTTGCCTTATTTAAACCTCAGACATTTAGTTTGGTGTGCTCCTGACTGTTGAAGTGAGAGCCATCAGAAAGAAGATTGAAGCAGCTTATGAGTCTAGTAAGGGATTTAAAAAGATCTCAAAAGAATTTGAAATCAGCCATTCCACTGTCTGGAAAATAGTCTACAAGTGGAGGATATTCTAAACAACTGCCAACATGCCCAGCTCTGGCCGTCCAAGCAAGTTCATCCCGAGAGCAGACCGCAAGATGCTAAAAGAAGTCTCGAAAAAACCCTAAAATGTCATCACGGGACCTACAGCAGGCTCTTGCCACTGTTGATGTGAAAGTACATGCCTCTACAATCAAAAAGAGACTGCACAAGTTTAACTTTCATGGGAGGTGTGCAAGGAGGAAACCTTTGCTCTCTAAGAGAAACATGAAGGCCAGACTGAATTTTGCCAGAGAGAACGTAGACAAAGACCAGGACTTCTGGAATAATGTTCTTTGGACAGATGAGTCTAAAATTGAATTATTTAGACACTGTAACAGAAGGCATGTTTGACGTAAACCAAATACAGCATTCCAGGAAAAGAACCTCATACCAACTGCGAAACATGGAGCTGGAAGTGTCATGGTTTGGGGATGCTTTGCTGCAGCAGAACCTGGCCAGCTCACCATCATAGAATCCACCATGAATTCTACCGAGTATCAGAGGGTGCTTGAGGAACATATGAGGCCATCTGTAAAAAATTAAAGCTGAAGTGGAACTGGGCCCTGCAACATGACAATGACCCAAAACATACCAGTAAATCCACAAAGGACTGGCTGAAAACTAAGAAATGGAGAGTCCTGGAATGGCCGAGTCAAAGCCCAGATCATAATCCCATTGAGATGCTGTGGGGTGACTTGAAATGGGCTGTACATGTAAGAAACCCCTCAAACATCTCATAGCTGAATGAATTCTGTGATGAGGAGTGGGGCAAACTTTCCTCAGACCGATGTCAGAGACTGGTAGATGACTACAAGAAGCGTCTCACTGAAGTTATTTCCACCAAAGAGGGTAACACTAGCTATTAGAGGGTAGGGTATCCTAACTTTTTCCTCTTTTAGAATACACATTTTTGTTAATATTTTTTGTTTAATGAAGATGTAAAACAAGATTATTTTTTGTTGTTTACCGGCAATTAAATCACTTTCTTTTCCAGAGATAAATAAAAACAAGATTAGACATCGATATGTGAACATTTCTTAATAAAGAACTGAATATTTAATAGAATGTCCTAATTTTTTCACATGACTGTATGTATATTACATACATACACAGACACACACACACACACAGACACACAGACACACAGACACACAGACACATTGCTTCCATTGCTATGGAAAATTAATCAATTATCAATCTTTTCACCTGTTTCCCTTATGCTCACTGCTTTAAATAAAGGGATAGTGTTTAATAAAGGGAACATTTGTGGTTACTGGTATTAGTACAAACCACAATATTTTATGTAATGGTTACTGTTATTAGCCTAGTAATTCGATATTCCCTAGTTCTTTTACCATAAGGAGCATGGGGTATACATCTTACCCTCAACATACTCCATGACCATGCAGAGGTGTCTGCGTGTCTCGAAAGAGCAGTACATGCTGACCACAAACGGGTTCTCAGCGAATGTCAGAATGTCCCTCTCCACAAAAGCCTGCTGGATCTGGTTCCTTAGCATTAGATTCTGCTTGTTAATCTTCTTCATGGCAAAGCGCTGCTTAGTCTCTTTGTGCCGTACGAGATACACAGCTCTGGGAGCAAAAAATACAAGACAATTCTTAATACATGTGTAATATCAAACCAAAACTGCTCAAATAATGGATTTAATAATAAACAATTCTTCATAAGTAAGATACACTGTAGTAACAGTAAAAACAACTGTGCATGGCGTTGCTTACATCCTAACCATTGCGCTATGAAGAAATTTTAAAAAAACGTTGAAATTCTCCTTTTAATTAACAAAAAACTAAACCAAGAGAATCCTGGGTAGCTCCACTTCAGGTGCTAAAGCATTTATATTACTTAAGACTGCAAGTTTAAATCATATTTATTTCAGTAAAAAATTGTTTAAAATTATAGGATTTAAACTACTGTAATTAAAATATAAAGACACATTTATAATAGCCAACATTATTGTTTATCTGAATTTTTTGCCCCTTACAATAAGTATCGGCCAAAATTTTTCATATCACTCGAGCCCTAGTAACAATATCCTTAAGAGGCTAAATAATGAGTAGACATAAGGCAATAACTCATGTAAACTGTTAAGATGTATTACCCGTAAGCTCCGTTGCTGATGAGTTTGATCATTTCAAAGTCCACCTCACAGGGTTTGCGCCGGGATCTTAATGCTGCACTCAGGCTCTGGGACTGAAAGAGAAATATAGACAGAAATATAGAAGTGAGTGAAATTGAGCACACTACTTTTCAAAGAGCTTCTGTTTTCAGAGGTCAAATCTGATTTGCTTTTGCATTTTGTATTGTGGAAATTTAACATGACATCTTACAGTCGCATCTAACCATGTCTTTGAATTTGTGATTTGCTGACTGAGACATGAAAAAACAACAATCTACTAGGTAAGGAAAAATAAAGATTTTATTAGCATTTATAGGCTATGTATTTATATAAGTGTTCATTAAATATATCTTTACAAGTAAAAGTGCTCAAAACTACTCACACTCACAGAATCATCGGTCTCTGGAGTTTCTGCAATTCCACTATCATAGCTGGTTAACTGGGCTATTTCTGCAAAATGGAAAAATAGTAGTCAGGTCTTGAGCTGAGCCAGCTTTTAAGGAAAGAATATTAAATCTCATTAAACTTCCCTCTAAAGAAAGTAAGACTAAAAACACAGTCATGTATGAGCATGTTAATCAACACATACTTTGTTCCGTCCTTATACATGGAGCGGAGCAGCCTAAAACAAAGGACTACATCACTTTTTCCACACAATGAGCTCAAGGAGTTGACTCCTGTGGTTCCTAAATGAGTTAAATGGAGTGGAAACCAGAGGAAAGGAACTTAACACATGTCATGACACACTTCCGCAGGGAAATTGTACCACCAAACAAACCCCAGCAAGCTAGCTATCAGCAAGTCTGGCCCCAAAGCCAACCTGCAAGCAGCAGGAGGTAATGATCCAGAGGGTCGTTTTGCTGTCCCTAAAGAGACCTGAGTGCGCTGAATTGACTTCAGAACAGCTGTCCATCTCCACATTCAGCCATCGCAGGCATCGAGCTGGGAGACCACTGAGCTTTAGTGAGCCTTGGAGGGCTTTGAAAGCAACACTATTTTGGCAGAGGAAGCTGAGGAACTTCCAGGTTTACTGTGGAAGGCATGGGGAGTGTGGGAGTTGCATTCAGTTCTAATTACTGCTAATGATAGTCTTGGATGCAAAATTACAGGTTCATTATAGGGGGTCTATCTCACAGACTGAGAACCCACCCTGTGGACTCAATTTGAAGTTTGAAGAAGCCACTTCCTAATGTAATGAGGATCTCGAAATGTTTTGCATAAATTAGAGTTGTCACTGGACCTGAAATTTTGGTTGGAATTAAGGCCAAATAACAAGAGATTCTTAATGATAGTACCCGTTAAATACCTTAGCGACAATGTTAATGTACCTAGTAGCAATGGCAGCAGTCATCAGATGAATAACCAACATAAAAAACAGTCACATTATCGGCTACTCAAAATTAAATTTAACTTTAATTAAGTTTAATGAAGTTTTACTCAAATCATGCCTTTGAACAACACCAGGATACTATATGGAATATACTCTACATATGTAAGTTGTTCTTTGGGTGTCCTTGTGGGCCTTGTTGGACCTACCAACAAGACAAGTGAATCCAACTTGGCAGATTAAAACTGTTTATGGTAATAAAAAATGAGCAAGAAGAATAAGGCAAGAAGAAAAAGTAAAGCAGGGGTAAACACAGATCAAAGATGACAAGCTATGAAAAATCTAAATGTGAAATTTAAACCTAAAGCAAGTTTGACACATACTTGAGAAATGATGTTTGAACCCAACTGAACGAAACTTGCACAGACGATGCATTCAAGCTCTAGCCCAGGCAACACTTAAAAATAAAAGGTGCCAAATAGGAGTCTTTGGAACAACGTCATAGAGGAACCACTTTTAGTTCCCTAAAGAACCTTTTAATTGAGTGATTTCAACTAGGTTTTGTATTGGGGAATTACTTTTTTAATTTTTTTTTTACTGACATTGCTTCAAGGAGTGCTAAGCACCTTTCTTTTTAAGAATGTACATGCATTTGCAAGTTGAATAATGCAAGACTTTTATTGTAATAATTCCATCTTTCTCTACATCCTTCTGGACATAAGACCATCTTACCTTCCAAGGGGTCTCGCGTCAGACCCAGCTGGCTGATGATGTAGCGTGGAATGTCAGTCTTGATGCCCTGCCCTTCTTTGGCATGACCCTCTGCAGCCTCCAGCAGATGATAGAATTCTTCTGGGTCAAATTCCTGTGAGCACATGTAACATTTCACTTTTAGTCAAGTTGGTCCTTCCCTCACACATGCTAGGAGTGCATGTTAGGCACAACAGCAGTGTTGGTTGTGACTAATATGATAAATCTTCAAAGAGTTGGAGCCAGTATGCCAGACATGAATTTAGACTAGTCTTAGGCTAAATTTTAGTGTCAAGGGTAAACCACCCCTGGACATGATTTTAAGTCTAGGCTTAGGCTTAATATGGGTCTGCGCAACTGGTCTTAGAAGTTAGGAATTCCTGTTGAATTGAAGAAATACACTTACCAGACATTCCAAGAGTCGTGCTGGTCTGGCAATGACAATGAGGATCTTTTTCACCAGTTCCTTAATGAAGGTCACTTCAACACTCTCTGATCGCTCAGTAGACTAAGGAGTAATACAATTAACCATGAGTAATTTAACAAAGAAATAACCCCCCCACACACATTTACGTCACAAATTGTAAGCTGGGTCAACTTCTTGGCAATACTAATAAAGGTAGGTTTTGCTTGAAAGGTCTGTTTCTTAGTAATAAGAACTACAGCCTATGGGTATGTCTAAACAGGCCTAAGAAAATGTAGTAGGAAAAAAGACACTAGAAATAATTCCAGAAATAAAGCAATGTGTGTGTCTGAACTCAGACACCGAAATGCTCCGCACCTCTTGGAAAAGCCTTTCTAGTTTGTCTGTGAGCTCGCAGAAGTAGCGGGAGGTGATGAGGCCAAGGCGAGACTTCTCCAGGCAGTCACGGGCCAGCTCGATGATTTGGTGATGGGCGAAGCTGAGCACTCCATCAGCCAACGGCAGCACATTCTCTGGGGAACTGCAGCTGATGATCTCTTGGATGCGCTCCTCCATCTGAGCCGTGGCCTGGAGGACGTGCCAGAACACTCAGAACCCAATGTCCCAATGCTCAGTCCCAGCTTTAAAAACTCTGATGTCTTCAGAGCAGAGAGTTTGCAAAACTTGAGAAGTTTCGAATACAAATTAGGGCAACTTGTTCAACTTATTTGAACAATATATTGTTTATTAATCATCATCTTGATGCTTTCCTTTGCAATACTGGTATTGCAGAAAACAGCAATCAATAATTAATAAAGGCATTGATACACTATATGTCCAAATGTTTGTACACACTTGCTTATCAAAATTTTGCTCCAACACTCCAGAGAACAAAGTTCCACTGCTCCACAGGCCAGCACTGGGGGGATTTATATGCCTCTAGCTTTGATATGGCAATTTTAGGCTCATGCGCAGCTGTGTCTGGATATTTTTTGGACATATAGCGTAAGATTCAAAATAACTATTCAGTTAAAGCAATGCAGGTGATAATCTTCCAACATTAAGAGCTCATCAGCGCTTTATTATATTTGAACATATTTTATATCGCAACATGAGTCACTATAGTAGCAATATGGAATTTTGACCATATCATGCAGGCTTATTGCTTACCTTAGGAAACCTTTCTTTGTACACATGATTCATCATTATAATCTCATGATCACAGCATGATGGAGATCTTCCAGGACTGAAAGGCACCACATTAACACCATCATTCTTACCTTAGATCCACTTATTTAAACATAGATAAATCAATTGAAAGAACAGCATACATTACAAACATTCTTTATAAGTTGTGCTAACTACCCACAGCCCTTTGTCGTACCTGAGACTGCGTGAGCGTGGACGCATGGGCATGGCCCTGCGACGGTCATCCACAGCAATACTCTCGGTGCAGAAGTGCTTGGAAAGGAAGTGGAGCTCATCAGGCGTGGGCTGGAAGGGCAGCTGGTGGAGCTTCTCCTGTGATGAACAGGACGACTGGAAATGACACGTGAAATACATAGAAAAAAAGAAAAGAAAAAGAGAAAAAGCTGACGGATGTGTCATGTCACCTTAGCATCATGCAGGCATGCAGGTGGTAGGCATACACACAAACAGCACAAGGATTCCCTTTAGGACTGAATGATGAAAAGCATTCCATCTCTATACAGCAAATTTGCCAGTGTAAAATCAACACAGCGAGTGTTAAAATTAGCACTTCATTAGTGTGTATGTGCATGTAATGTTCACATTAATTTGAGGTAAATTTATTCTTTATGATCACATAACATACATTAGTGTTATGAAGCCTTAATATCTTACTTATTATCTTACTTGATATTATTGTTTCTCTGCACTAAGGTTAGGTATCCTGGTTTTCATCCCTTAATACTATAATGACCAGTCAGCTGTGAAATGGAAAACCATGCTTTCAGGAGAACTTTGAGTTGTTAAGTATACTTAGAATAATGTTCCAAAGTCTGGAATCGTTGTTCAAAAGTTTAGAATCAACGTTTTCAATAAGATACCAATATGGTTGCAAAACAATGTACAAAATGATTCTAATATTCTACTCCAGCAGTAAAGATCTTCACAGGTTTCAAACTGCTAATAGAAAAAATAAGGAATTTTATAGAAGTGGTGAAGCTATAACAAATTAATACCCAGGAAACAGTGGTGATCAAATTTACAGGCAGATAACTTATATATAATATAGTATAAGATTCACCATTTAACATGTTTCCGATGTTCCCCAAAACAATTGAAAAAGAGAACAGAACTTCTGGTATCTACTTTTGGATATTTAATCTGCACTGTGCAGACTATTAATGTATATGGACCATTCTACTAAATTAGCTCAAACTGTGGCCCCACAGTAAAAATTAATGAAATGTATTCAGAACCTATATTTAAGGATTATGTTATGACCCAAGGGAATGGCAAATGATCCCAAAAAGAATGGCTTTGTAAAGACTGCAGAGTTGGCACTAAGCAAATGTCGGCTTAATACCATTATGGTTGGAATAATACAAAATCTAAAAAGCATTCAAATCATTAAGGTAAGATAACAAAAAGACTAGGATTGAACCGTAAGTGAAGAAATAAAAACTATTTAAGAGAAACTAGCAAAACCTCAAGGATAATGTTAAGTTCCACCCCCAGCACTACACTGCGGCTGATTTCAACCTTCACCTTCAAGTTTAGCCAGCTCCTTACAAGAGTGCGATGATTACAGACCAAAACACATTTTTTGGTTTATTAACACACTTGACATAAAAACAACTCCAGAATCAACTTTAAAAAAACACTTTTTAAAATTATGAACATGAAATCACACACTATTTGGAAATGGAAGCTTGAATCAATTGCTTAGGTACTTATTTGGACAAGCTATCTTTAAAATTACACATTTTAGTCCATAATGAATTCCACCAGTCATAACTTTACAAAATCATATCTGAAAAGCACCATGTATTTAAAGATAGCTTAGTGGATAGCTTACTGGATGTGCTGCAGCTCATCTCATCCCTCTACAATCAGTTCTGCATAGTTTACACATCATTAACTTGTGCACAATGACCTCTCTCCCCTTAAATGCCTTGGCTAAAAAGCGTCTGTGCCAACTGCTCTAGCACACCGTTTGTCAGGCTTATCCCCCTACACTCAACACCAATTGGCTGGCATGCCGGCACCAGATTGTTTGCCATTTCCTTCCCAGGTGGGCGCGCGATGAAACAGTGTCAGTAAACACAACCACAGCCAGTGAACGAGTGAGCGAGTGAGCGGGTAGTCTGGCGCCAATTCATGGACATATTTACCAGCAAACAAATCTGGCGGTGCTGAGAACAGTATTAGTCAGAGGGGGAGACAGTCATAGCAGCATCTGTTATTCATGGCAGACAGCACTCGTTTACTTGAGAAATTCTGTATGAGGAGGGGATAGTATAGAGATGGAGTGCCAATCTAGCTTAAAGAAATACTCCAGCATATTTCAAACTAATCTGTGTTGTACTGTCATTATCATGGACAATAACTTCATTAAGTTTTTCTATACTTGAAATATGTGACTACACAACAAATTTAAATCTACAATTTTTACACTCTAATGATACAGTTACAGTTGCAGTTATTGTCGCTTGCCCTAAGGTTTTCTGACCACCATGAACAAATCATGTGGAAACTGGGAAAACTCCACCAACACCACAACGCTGGTAATGTATTACCACAATTTTTACCTCAAAAAAGGCGAAATTATCCACATTTAGTTTAATTTACAAATACTTTTGACTGAAGAACTCATGAAAGGGTCCTGCAAAATGTGTTTCACATAAATGTTTATTCACAGAATTCAGCATCTTCCCTTTTTTTTTATTAAAAGTGCACTTTGAGACAATGTGTTTTCTGTACAGGAAAAGTGTTGAAATTTTTGTCTGTGGGAAACGATCATATGCTATAGATGCAGCAGATTATGCTGAAAAATGCTGGTGCATTCCTTCAAAGACTCAAACACATGAAGCAGTGTAGCCTGGATAATGCGCACAATGTAGCACACCCTCTAAAGTGCTAGCTGGTGTCAATTGTATCCAGTGCAGACTGCATACAATGTTGCACAGAAATTCTAACACAAGATACTATAAAGTCCTCTTTATAGTATTAAGACAGGTGATGGTGGTTGGAATTTGAAATAGCCTAAACAAATATAATCCTAATAAATTGACAACAAATGGAAGATTTGAAGTGAAAAGCATCATATATCCAAAACTGTTAAAAAAAAAAGATCCGGTACATGTGAAATCTCTCAGGTTCACTCTTGATGATTAACATAGAAGCTACGTACAGAAACCGTGGAACTAGGAGTGTTGGTTCCATATCCAGAGGAGGGGAGGGATGCCAGGGACCACCGACGGCCATCGGTCCTATACAAAAAACACACAGGCACTGCTGTAATGGCTAACATCCTAATGGTGACTATGTGAACAGAACCCGGGGACGTAACAAACATCACTGAGCGTGAATCAGATTGTGACTGGGTTCAAAACACTGGGGGAGTAGGATACCAGATACAAGGGAAATGCTGAATGACTCATTGATTTTCAAAGAGAGAGGAGATGAAAGATGGTTACAAAGCAGTCCGGCGGCTGAGCACAGTTGTTTTTACAGAACGGGGCTGGGTGAGCCATTTCCTGCAGACCCCTTTCGCCAGCCAATTTATTGTGAGGAATCAACGATAATAATAACAGAAACAAAGACCGGGAGGAGTATTTCATGGGTAGAGTGGAAAGACCGTAAATGGCCAAAAAATGTCAGTGAGGGGGCTGGGAAGGTAGATCTTTGCTGGGAATTAGTTTATGCAAAAACTTCACTCTTAGAAATACTTTAGGGCAATGCCATACAAGAACCACCTTCGGGTCCCTAAAGAACATTTCAATGGCTGGTTCTTTAAAGGAATACTCCACCACTTCTCAATGTAATCTCTATCTGCCTCATCTGCAGCGTACATTGTAAATTATTTTCTGTATCCAACTTATAGTACAGAGTACAGAGAAACCTACTCACTCAAAATACTAACCCCCCTGGCGTTTTACTGTGTGTCAACACTTTGAGTCAACAGATTTTCTGTTTTTTGACTAAGCACAGGAAAAAGAAACGTCTAAATTATTGCCCATGGAGTTTCCGCAAGGAATTTTTACACTGGTTATGGCGCTTAGGAATGTTTCAGTCTGACAGACAAATGTGAAAATTCCAGGCATTTGCAGTCGTATTCAAAAATTTGAATGCCACCTACCAAATGATGTTTTGATGATTTTTCTGAGTGAAAATAAGTTAACACATCCTTTACGGGGAGTTCAACATGCTGAAAAAAAATAAAACATGGCATTAAAAGTTCCATCACTTTTGTACATGCCAGATTTTTTGTTTAATTTTTTCCCCACTATGGTGAATTAAGCAAATACCAGGACTGTGCATTAATATTTGCTGATGTGTGTTCTCTGTAGATGATGTGTTAACTTATTTTTACATAGAAAATCAACAAAAACAAGTTGACCAAGGGTGTCCAAACTTTTGCATATAACTGTACTGGCATTAACACTGCACAAAACCTACATGTGACACAACAGGCTAGCCAAAAATTACTTTTGGATTATCTCAGACAGCCTAAAATAACAACTTCGCTGACAAAAACATATTGCTGATACATGGCTGCTTAAAACATTTCATTCAAGTTCATGAAGTTCAGCACAGCTCTGTACTCTGTACCCTTTGCAGTTAAGGTAGCTCTCTTCCCCCAACACAGAACAGCAAGGGGAGACACGGGATTTTATTTACTGAAAATCCGACATGGACTTGTCTGGCAATAATTTAGTTTACCAGTCTTTCAGAGTTTTTACTAAATAAATACCAGCATTTACCAGCTAACAGAAACCTGCAAGGGACCACAGGATACAGATACAGAAGACAGATATTAAGTTGAAAAACACTGGAGCTCCTTTATTTTCTAAGTGCACATATGGCAAACTCATGCAGACATGGGTCAAGAAGATAAGGGGGACAACAGATATGATGGGCCTCATTTGAATTACCTGTCTGCTCTGTAGCCATAGCTGAGGAATTATAAATAGCAAGAAAGGAATAAAAATACTTTAAGCAATTTGTGACAACAAAGGACAGTTTTTTTTCCCTAACAGCCGTCTGAGTTTGATGAGCGACTTGGTTGCTTTCCTCCACTGCTGAAGTGACAGCTTAAAAACGCAACTTCTGAAGCATGGTTTTTATATTCAGCCCTGTTTCCAGTTGTAGAATGCCTGTCAGCTCTGGAGGCGTTCGAAAGCACCTGACAAGATCTATCCAGATGCATCAAACACTGTGGCAGAACATGTCATAATTTACACTTCTTGATGTCAGTCCAGAATAAGAAACAGAATTTCAATGATCATCCAATATATGATGGTCTATAAATGACACTGTAGTACTGGCCAATAGTTAACTTGTCTATTTTTTCACAAATAATTTGCTCTTCCATTATGAGGCACACCCAACAGAACTAGCTGAATTGACAAAGCAGGTTCATCTTGAGTGCAGGTGGTGGAAAAGTGTTGATTACCTGCGAGTGAAGGAAAAATGGGCTGAGGCACTGGGGGAGAAGTTTCTGGGGCTGTCTTGGGGACTGGTGCCTAGAGGAGATAGAAGAGACGACTTCTCAAACACAAGATCAATCCTGGGTTCAGCAGCACAATTTAAAACATACTTTAGCCAGGCACCATCTAGAAGTAGACCTATCAATTTTTTCTCAAACAGTCCAATTCTACCTCCACTGATGCTTTAGAGCAGTGGTACTGGTCCTGGTGTACCACTGCTATGCACATTCTAGAGCTTCCTCTGCTCCCAACTCGCCTGATGCAACTAATGAACCGATGAACAAGCCTGAGTTCAACAGGGTGTGTTGGGAGCAGGAAAAAAACATCCAGGGCAGTGGCACTTAGGACCAGGATTAAGAATCACTGTTCTACAGGATGCAGCAGTAGACATTGTCTATTGTTTGATGCCACTGGCCACAACATTTTACACTTTTTTTCCCCATCTTTTCCCTTTTAACAAACCAGCAGACCAGTTGAATTTTCACACATTCGCAAATATCCACCATTAGTAACAAAACCACTATTTTTCACCCCTTTGTGCAAGAATCAGAGTCTGTTCGGTCAGACATGGAACTAAATCAGATTTTGGCACAAGTTGGAAAGTGTTACCACCAAGATGACCTCTTTTTATATCTCTGAACATTTTGCTGTAGCTTGCCAAGATTATTATGGGTTATTAAAATACGGCTTTACCATGAATGGAACAGGGATGTCTTTTTTAGAAAGTTTTTAGAAACGGGCAAACAGTCTAAACACAGCAGAGCTGCTGCAGAGCCCAGACCAAAATTGAAAGAAAATGACTATGGTGAAAGCCTTTCAGGGCTTCAACACAGAAGACTGCCTTTTTGTTTGAGACAGAGCTGGTTTGACCTTCAAGCTCCTGCACAAGTGCCTGAAGCATCTGTATCCACACTCTAGTTTCTACAGTACCACAGAGGCCTCCAAATCTTCCCTCCTTCCATATGGGCACCATCCACTTATTAGCATGCCCCGCTGTTTTTGGGGTTTGCTTCTGGCAATGAAGGCCAATCAGAGAGAAATGGTGCATCTGTGTGTTTGTGTAGGTCCCAAATGAGAGCGATTGGGACCAGTGCACATGAAAACAGCCCTCTGACCAACATTAATTACAGATAATTAACTCCACTGGATAAGAGAGCAGGTTAAGAGTTAATTAAACAAAGAGGCACAATGGCACCCCCATAGTGATAAAGAGAAGTCTGTGAGTCGTGAAAGTCTGGGCTGATGGGCAGAATTCATTCATTAGGGTTTGATTCATTTACTGGGACGCAAACATAAGGAAGAGAAAGATTTGCTTTGTTGGCAGTCCTGTATGCAACAGAGATGGCAGGCTTGACCCAATTTAGCCAGGCATTTTGTGATCAGAGGCTAGGCTTAGATTTAACAATAGAGCTGAGGCAATCTGGTTACTCCCTCTATGGAGAAAGCCATGGGGCTTTCAATCCAAAAAATAGCTGTACAGCAAAAAACTGATTACTTGCTTGCGTTTCACGTTGTTCATAGGAAATCTAATATGAAACTGGGACTGAGGAGGAACACAATATTTATATAAACCATGATCTTTTTTGTCATTTAAATAATTACATACAGTTGACAGATAAGTTATGTAATTAGATACACATGCAGAGCCAATGCTAAACTAGCATTGTAAGAAGCTAGATACTTCTGACCTATATTTTGTATGAAAATCTGGATATTAACAAACAGATTCAAATAATGTGGTGAGACAAAACCAAAAGAACAGAAGTGTACTGTGCTTGGCTATGTCATCGGCTACCTCTTGCCTTATATATTTACACTATCATTCACAAAATCACTTATTGTAATTATCTTTGTTATTTTATATACAAAACTTAAAATAGTATAGATGCAATATAGGAATGCTATAAAGCTTTCTTAGGCATTTCAGAAACATCTACAGCTCTGTTTAGCATTCTGGACATTTTTTTTTTCTTTTTCTTTCATACAGCTTCTTACCGATAATTTGAAACCTCTGAAGTTGTACAGGTCTATTGAAATTCAATAGACCTGGCTACATTTTTCCAGTTTTCAAGTGTCCAGTTTTGGTGAGCCTGTGCCCACTACAGCCTCAGTTTTCTGTTCTTGGCTGATGGAAGTAGAACTCTATATGGTCTTCTGCTGTTGTAGCCCACTCACCTCAAGGTTCGATGTGCTGTGCATTCTGAGATGCTTTTCTGCTCATCACAGTTGTACAAAGCGGTTATCTGAGTTAGCGTAGCCTTTCTGTCAGCTTTAACCAATCTGTCATTGTCCGCTGACTTCTCTCATCAACAAGGTGTTTCCATCCACAGAAGATGTTTTTTCTTTATTTCATCACTCTGAGTAAGCACTAGAGACTGTTGTGCATGGAAACCCCAGATCAGCAGTTAAAGAAATATTTAAACCAGCCCATTTGGCACCAACAATCATGCCATAATCAAAATTACTGAGATCACATTTTTTCCCCTACTCTGAATGTGAACATTACCTGAAAGCTGCTAACCCATATCTGTATGATTTTATGCACTGCACTGCTGCTTCAAGATTGGCCAATTAGATAATTGCATGAATGAGTAGGTGTACAGGTGTTCCTAATAAAGTGCTCGCTGAGCAAATATCGCAGCTGGCACAACACTTACTTCAAATCAGTGGTGCAAAGCAACAAATTACAACTATTCTCGTTACAGTACTTAATAATACTTTTTTGTGTAAAGCTGTTGTTTGTTTGCTCTTTTGCAAGCTAATTTAGCTAATGTAAACTAATGTCCGCTTGGTAGCCAAAAAACCTCTAAAACTGGACCTTTATTCTGTAAAGCGGGTTATAACTTAAAGTGAAACTTTATAACTTAAACTTAAAGTGAAAGTGTCACACCTAAAGTGTTTCTGAAGCCTTTTTCTTTCACTCGCCAAATTCCGCAGTAAAATGACACACTTCCTCTTTTAAACTACACTTAACATATCACTGCTGTCCAAAGAAACACATGTATCTCCATTTTTGTTGATTTTCATTTTTCGATATTATTCGCACGGCAGCTGTCCTTTACACTGTGTGAAAATTTCTTGAGGAATGGACCAACAGAAATGCTCCAAAATTGGAAAAATTAGAACATTTCGCTTTCCAATGAGAACTGGCTTGATGGTTACCTTTAGAGACCACTAGTTTCCTTGTAAGGCATCTAGATCCCATTAGAAAACCATCAAATGCATCTGGTATGAGTTCCAGGACACCAGTTAAACCATTAGAATCATTATTATCACCAGGAAAACACAATAGTGACTACTGGATGCCACCAGAAAGCAAGAGAAACTTTTAATCGTTTCTTTGATTTTTTCAGCAGGGCTATCCTAACAGTGTGTGGAGGTGCCAGTGTGTGGTCAGGAAAAAAAAAATATCACAAAAAAGGTACATTTTTAGCCCCACAAGGTACAAACAATGTGTTTTAACAAAAAAAGTGTTTTAATGGTACACTACATTTACTTTCCCAGGTGCATGTTTGCGCTTTGTCATAACTTAACAGGTTCAAATACAAAAATTTAATAAAAAGTTTGGAATCAGGACAGGGTGAATGAAGTCAATGCAACTTAAAACAAATAAATGCAACAGAACATGGTACAATCACTTCCCCTTACTAAGGTGTATCCCAGGAACAGTTTTACAGCTTTTTAACTTTTTTCTTACCTGAAACCAACAGCAATGACTTGTGATTGAACAGATCTGTTTTTGTTGTCAAGTTTTAAATGTGCTGCAAAACTGTTTGAAAAGAACTCAAACTCAAAATGGTAACATGACAGAGGCAGAGCAGATTGAATGAATGGTACCTTGCACTTACATGATGCTGACGTGTAGCGTGTGGTGTGAATATGGTGTAACTTAAAAAATTCCTGAGTACTTTTTCAGCAATGTTAGTTACTTAGTTACATTGCTTATTAATTATTTTACTTGTACACTGTTAGAAATAAAGGTGCTGTGCAGGTAAATTTTTCATTCATCAAGGTGCAAACAATGTAAATGTACCCTCAAAGGTACAACTGTGGTTTTAAGGTCCAATTGTGCACCTTAAATACGTTATTCCAGGTAAAAAATACATATTTGTACATTTTCATAACCTAATGTTTTAAAACAGAACAATAAAATAAAAAGCCTGGAGATGAGACAGGGTGCGTGGAGTCAGTACAACTTAGAAAATATAATTTCAGTGGATTACGGTGCAATTATGTTCCCTGACTAAATGTATTGAGATGTACCCTTGAGGGTACCATCACAGTGACAAGAGGGGTACTGCCCCAGTGACAGTTTTGTACCTTTATTTCTGAAAGTGTATTCAAGATAAATTATCACTACAGTAGCTATTGCAGCAGTTACTCTTATTTTTTAGTAGAAATTTCTGTACTCTTTCCACCCCTCCTACTAACTAAGATGACATCACAAAAGTTTGGAGCTGCAGACAGAGAAGGATCAAGTTGGTGGTTAATGTATCACACATGCCTAGCTCATCAGACTCTGCCTTTCTACGCTGCATCTTTTTCTTTTTTACTCAAAACTATAAGTGCTATTCAATGGGAACAGCAATGATTTACTGTAACCACCCCATCATACATCATGCATGAACAACAGTCACTCTGCCACTGAAGTAAGCAGTTTTCAGGAAAGTAAATACAGGCACAACATACACTTGCAAACATAGAAATACATATATACATATACAAATAAGTATGTTACCTGTATGTGATGAAAGGGGTGAGTGTGGTCGAGGAAGGGCTGATGACTGTCCACTTCCTATCAGACTTTTTCTGTTGCTTGTCCTGCAGCTTGAAAAACAAAGAGCAGAACTAGATTATAAACATCACATCAAGAGTTAATTCTCAGCTCTGTTCAACGTGAACATGAACTTATTTTTGCTTTGTATCGTGACTTATTTCAGAGTGAAACACAGTATAAAGAGGATCTATGAGCAAGGAGGCAAAATAAATATAATGATGTAATCAGAAAGTCAGATGTTTAAAATTTGATTTTGATGGAAAATTACAGTAAAACAAGAATTTCATCTTTTAAGTGATTTATAATTTGATGAGTCGTAATAAATATGAGAAGGAACAAGAACAAATGATGTAAAAGATCAGCTGCAGGTGCACTAAGTTAATCCTCAGTACGGCTGTCATTAACAATTTTGTAAGCAATCCAGTTATATACTAGTCATTTTGATGCTTAATCAGACAATAAAAATGGACTTGCACTAACAATAACAAAATCACATTGCTTTTCAAAGATCTCGAAGCACTTCACTGGAAAAAGATTGACAAGGAAGCCTTTAAAAAACATTATAAAAAATAAATCTTTAAAATATTCATTTTTATTGTGACAGTCTAAAACACCAAATATAAGGAACAGGTCAGTAAGATTATAACACGTGCAGCTGTATACAAAAATTTGAACACTCGTGAAATTATCAGTGAAAATAAGCTGACCTCCTCTATAGGGGACAAACTTGAATATGGCATTTTTCTGCACATTTTAGTGAAAGATTTCCATTCAATTGATGAGTTTAACACATTACAAAAAAACGAAGCAAAACTATGCCATAACTTTGGCACAGGCCAAATTTAATTTTTTTTCTGCTGAAAATCAGCAAATGAACAGTAATTGTGCAATTTCAATGTAAAATGTACAGAAGTGTGTTCTCTGTAGAGGATGTGTTATTTTCACTTATGTACACATGCTTTTTTTGTATACTGTATATTTTCCTTACAAATCAGACCAGTCACATAATCAAGGCAAAGCAGTTAGGGATATGAAAACACTATTGGAATATGACACAGCAACTGTGTTAATAATTTAGTGTCATAATCTTTATCACTGCTAAACTTATTAATTATAATGACAATCATTAAGGTTTTCATTATTTGGGTATCGCAAAGTAGCCTTTTGTCATTGCTATTAACTGGAACACACCTACCTAGCTTCTAAATCAGATATTTTTGATACATTTTAACAGAAGCCAGTATTAAGAAGCATGTTACTTTATGTTTGCCTTCAGTAACACAGACCCTTACTAAAAAGTACTCAACATAAAATCCATGTACATAAGCAAATGAAGAGTCAGATTTAAAGGCAAGTGTACATCACATGAACAGGTCTAGGCCAAATGCACAAGGAAGCTGTCAAGACTCATTAATAATCCTTTATTTTCTTTACATACCGTCTTCCTGATCTTCTCCATAAGCTATACCACTTAGTCCTGTTGAGATGCCTCATTAAAGTTGCAAGGTACACTTCCTCAAGACTAGACCACATTCGTCCCAAAGTTTACACAGACATCTTTAAGAAAACACAGTCAGAGACTCCAGATAGAGGATACGCTGACCTTTCAAGGGACCTTCCACTTTAAGAAGCCTCAGACAGGCGCTGTGTGGTTCACCAACAGGATGATTACAGCTCATCAAACAGATCCTCTTAGTTCACAGACTTAATGAGCCCGCAGTGCCCTCCATACTCAACCGAGAAGTGAATGTGCATGCTGATGTAGCCACTGCTCCAACTACATACTCAAAGGGGTTATTCGCATGAAGAAATTTGGGAGAAGTTTAAGACGTTTTAGGTTTACACATGCAGAGAACAGGAAACTGGTGAACCAATCCAAAGGCAAAACCAAGAAAAAGAAATGCCTTAAAAACACTTGAAAGCAGACTTAGATCTTCTACAACAACAACATGCCCATAAAAGTGATTTAAAAATATTTTCAAAAGCATCTCATGAATCTCCCCGTGATACAACCCTGTCAGATTAAGTGCTAAATAATTTATAAAAGCAAGGGAAAAAAAATTATGCATATAGGACAAAACTTTGTAAGTGACACAATGACATGATCAAAGACCAAAAAAAGGGAAAAAGACTCAGTTATTCATTTTGTGTGCATTTGATGATGGAACATAAATATGAAATGAAAAAATGAATATGATGTCATATCTGATTCTAAAAAAAGGACTGCGCGAGAAACTGTAGAAGGTTTCAGAGCACACGGCTCTGGCCAGGTGCACATTCAGGGCATTTCTCCAACCATGCTATGAACGGGGGAAAGGCGCACTGAAAAGATGACATTGCATAGTCCTTGAGATCCTCGTATTAATGCTAGCTCAGTGTGAAGGGCCTGCCAAATAACCTTCAAATGTTTTTTCTACTGGTAACATATACAGGCGTTATCTGATTGCAATGTCCCTTTAATGAATCTGTGATATCAACAAAGATTTACATATATCCACTTAACACTCCACAATGACGTATTGTGGGGTAGGATAGGGCTGACCCAATATGGACAGTTTGTGACTCACACCAATACAAATATTAAGGAGCAAAAAGTACACAATAATATCAGCTGATATCACTCCTGACAAATGTCTATGAAACCACTAAATCCTTTGATTTGAACATACGTTCACATACATACGTTTTATTATACAATCAGCTGCTAGCAAGTCATTAAATAAGCTTCCCAATGATGCAAATGTCAAACGTTTCATCCTATCATTGGTTGACACACAAAACGAAACTGAATTACTGTTGCCAGATTTTTGTTTGGGATGTCAAATTTGTGCAGTTTCAATCACCTTTATAAACTATAAAATCGGTGAATGACACCCAACAATAGCTATATAACTAGCTATTTATCTATTCAACTAGCCTTGTAGGTTGTAACAAAAATTTCTCCATAGCCATTGAATATTAATAGAAAATTAAGTAACACTAAGAAACTGCACAAACGTGACATCAATGAGTGACCTGTATTTACACAGTCCATACAAAGTGTTTTGTTTTCATTGCTAAATGATAGTTAGACTACTTTTTTTTTTTATTGACTTTACTGTTTAGATTCTAAAAACTTACATGGCACCAGTGGAATAACACCTTCACTAGAGAGGAAAACCGTGTAAATGATGGAAGCACAGTTTTGGTACGTTAAAATGGATTTTTACATTCTTGTTTCAATTCACGGTCTTTTAAAGCAGCACTATGTACCAGGGCACTAGTAGTAGTGTTACTGCATCAGGAGCAAAAACATGTTAAAATATGTGTAAACCTGTAAAGCCTGAAATAAGAATTTAATAGTCAGAAGTTTTGGGACGGATTTGGCAGGAGTTTTTCAAACCACATCATACATTTTTTTGGGCAGGCTTAATGTTCAGGTCTCAAATGCAAAATGAACAATATACTGTTGAACATATGATGATAATTGCAGATAATTCACTTACATCCTCAGAAGGCATGTCCTTCATCAAGTTCTGACTGAGATCTCTTTGAACGCTTTTTCAACTTGCTCGCAATCATCAGATTCATCTGTTTGTGGGCTCCGAAGCACAACTGACGATACAAAACATACCTCCTCATGTTATGGGCAATTACAGATTTTCACCAGAGAGGTCTCCAAATCCTCAAATGTTACATAGTGCTCCTTTAACATCCCACAGAACTCTAATGACCTGCATTAAATTAAGTACATGCACCTAAACCACACAGATTCTACCCAAGTACTTCTCTAAGGCTTCCTTGCCCTGGCCAAATCTAACTTCATGGCTATGTTAGAATATAAATACAAGAGTCAGGATATTACTTATGATCTAAGTGTGATCTTATATGATCAAATCCATACAAGCTCACTGAGTTAGCACTATATATTAGGGCTCTAAACCGATTCAAGGAATGAAAAAGAACAATTTCCTCATGTGCACAAGCTATTTTCCATTTCTAACAACTGCCTGAAACCTGATTAGACTACAGCTCATATTTGCATAGTGGTGTTTTTTCTTCACAAAATAGGTCCCACCTATTGTAAATCAACTGATTGATTATACTGTCACTTCCTAATTATATTAGCAATTAATTTAACATGTAAGGCCTTCTGTCCAGCTCCTAAAGGCCTAATCAATGGGAGGATACATATTGCTACAAAACTTCAGTTTAAATACAAGAATGAGGAATATTTTAAAAAATCAACTAAAAATTACAGACTTGTATGTTAGTTTCCAGAAATCATTAAGCCTATACTGAAGTCCTACAAGGCCCTGAGGGGTCCCCAGTGTTGTGATAGCATAGATAGCCTCTTTATACATTACAGCGAAAAAGTGTATGCTAAGACAGGCCTATCATCTAAAATTAAAAAGTGTGGACATCCTTTACAAATGGAAGGGAGATCAGCCTGTGTGTTTTTCCCCAATTTCTTACTCTTTCCATGTAGCAAGGTCATTCAGATCAAGATGAAAATCCACAAAACATTCATCATTCCAGAAAGTATATAATATGCAGTTAACAGGTGCTCAGTGAAAGAGGATCAGATTCACCACAGCTATTTATACAGTCTCCCCGCATGGGTGGATTAAGCCCCATTAGTCCTTAACTTTGCTCCATGATGCCTCCTACAGCTCACTGACAAAATTAGATAACACATTTGTGGTAAAAATGCTAATGATGTAAAAATGTAAGGCTTACTTTGTACTTCGAGGGGCAAAAAGGACAGCTCTATTCCAACAACATACTCACAGGAATGGGAAAAAACAAGCACAAAACCTCTCCTGCCAAAGTCATCTACCTGATACAATAACCTTTTACCTTTTATGCTTTATGCTACCTTTGTCTTGCATTGTTAATATACAACACAACATTTTCTGCCAATGCTAAAGCCAACGTTTTAGAACAGACTGATGTGGTATCTGTACTATAAATTGTATGATTCAGCAGCAAAGTCACTGTTCACACAAACAGATTTACACCCATCACTGAATACATACAGAAGCTTTAGTAAACACCCATCTTGAATTAG